CACTTTGGCGTCGCCTCACGGTCGTTCATAAATTATAGTCTCATCATGGTAATCAGTGTAACATGGGTATTTTTCACCAATACTTTATAGCTGGTAACCAAAGTTGTATGATGCAAGTAAGGTCATGTGATAAATGAATAGCAAACTAATCATTTATACAAACTAGCAGTATGGGCTATGAAATCAATCGAGCTGGCACCCAGTTTTAACTAGATGGTTTTAAAATGTGTAGTGGCAGTGCAGCTCACCAGTGACTACATAAAACTGTACTCATTAGATGAGTTGGCGGATCAAGTTGTTGTGGAAAAACAAATGTCACGATCTCAAGCCTAAGTAAGCGAACAACGTTGAACTGTCTGTTCTGAAAAAGAGGTTCCATGTATTAGCATTGAATTCATGTGATATGTTATGTTAATCCGCCAACTGATGAAGCTACTTAGAACTTCACACTATTTGCTTACAAATTATCTTCAATATAATCTCAAAAGTGAGATCAGTGGAATTCGTTTGGAAAGTGATCAACCTGACATTGCTAGTGTCTGATTGGATGAACATGAATAATAATTTACATGTGTTTACGGAAAAGTTACTACCCAGGCAATGCTACTGAAAAGATAAAGTCAGCGGGAATATATAACGTAATATTCATGTAGATGAACCAACTGGTTGTGTGATATTATTGTTATGGTTTGTTCAAAAATGATATCTCCTTTAAACTGTGGCCTTGTCAGACGCATATCTCATCAAAGCTCCATACCCGCTTGTTGCAACGACGGGCCAGTGAAATTTTGCTGGGCTATAACCTATTCGGCCATTTGACGTTAATTTGTTTAACGAACGTTGTTAAGGTCAAGGAGGATTAGTGTGAACAAATAGACCTGACAATATGGGTCAGATCATATGACAGCATGTCCATACCTTATATTTATTCATTCTCTTAATAAGTCATGGATAGGATAATGCTCTGTAAAACATAATTGGAATAGTAATCTATACTCTGATGACATCCAAGAGTTGACAACATTCCAAAAGTTGTAGAAGCTATAGAGCTAATGAATGCAATCAAACCAGATGAACAAGGGATATTTGAAGACATAGTTAACAACAGATCAAGCACTTTTTATGATGGAGAAACTAGGGACTAGTCGAACGGAAAGGCATAGATAGGAGGATTTTCAAGTATGTCTGCTTAAGGGATTTTTGGAATCGATTCTGAATAAATAATACCCTGTACGCCGTAATCCGAAATGTCTAGGTACAGCCTATTGTAAACTATCTAACTTTCATGAGATAGGACAGGCTTTTGTGAACCTAAGGCTTTTTTGACACACTTTTCGGTTCACTTAGTATGAGAATGTTATCTTTCACAGAATAATCCTTGCTAACGATTTCGTTTTGAGCTCAAACCTCTACATTATTAGCTATTAAATTTGGCATCCTGAGATGGGTTTTATTGGAGTACTCATAACAGATGATGATAGTTTTAGATGCCTTCAGTGAAACCTTCAGCGATCATTATACTCTTCCGCGTGTACCCACCACATGGGCGAAAAATGCCCGAAATTTCTAGACATCGTGCGTATATTGAATGCTAAAGAAGAAGGTATTATTATACTTGCATAAGTAGTGCTCTCAAAAAACTGTGTGCGTCACACAAACGTTCATAGTTTCTTAATTAAGACGTCGGAACTGTAACTACAGTGGGAGAATTGCTTCCCCAATAAACTTTTGTCGCAGAAATGTGGCTAACTACAAATGTGAGTTTTTCTCCGGATGTTGAATGGTCTGTCTGTATTAGAAGTGGTAAGGTTAAAATTTGGGAGACAGGAGGCCTAATATTATATAGAGGTAAACATGAGGTATCTGACTGTACAGCCAAGTTTAGAAAGGGATTAGTGATTATAGGAGGAACATACCGTAGTCCAAGTTGTCATACTGACAACGTTTTTCTAAGTTATACTCACACGCGAAGTAATGATGATCATTGTCACATCGGTGAAAAATTCAACCGTACACACCAAGTGATTAGAGCTCACAACCTCAGGTAGATTCTCTGACGTTAACTTATCAAACGGTGTATCGCACAAATAAGACAGACATAGAACATGGACCATCATTGTTGACATTCCACTTCACAAAGCACTGCGATGATGTTACCGACATGTAGCACGGGTGCTATTACTGACTGTATATAAGTGCAGAAAGAGATAAGTCGTGCCTGACGACCGATCAACCATTCTAACCAACATAGTAGTTAAAATAATTCAAATGGTTCAAATGGTTGTGGACGGAATAGAAGAAGCTTTCGCTTAACAGGCTTCCGTGTCTAGTAGCAGGGGATCACCAAATCCTCCAGGCAGGAACCTAGGTATGTTAACAATAAAAAAGGAAAAGAAATTGGTAAATCATAATGTGATGCTGTCCTTGGTCCTTAAGAATAGGTCAAGTTGCCTCTTGAAGGACTCCTGAGAAGTCGCTTGGAATAGCTCGGCCGGCAGCGAGTTCCAGCTTTTGACAACTTTTAAGGAGTAGAAGTTGTGTCTACATTCCGTCTTGCTATGTTGTGTTTCCAGTTTCTGGGTGTTACCTCTTAGGTTATTATTCGAACTAAGCTTAAGTAGGTGTTTAAGAGGATGTCCAGAAGTGTTAAGAATACTATAAGCCATTAGTAAATCACCTCTAAGACGCCTATATTCTAGTGGGTAAAGGTCTAGTGAACGGAGGCGTTCTTCGTAAGGCTTAGATTTGAGTCCTCGAACTGATTTCGTGGCTCGCCGTTGGATACGCTCCAAAGTGACCTTGTCCTTTTGGAGTGAGGGCGGGAGTACTATGTTTCCGTACTCTAAATGGGGACGGATGAAACTATTGAAGATTGTATGGAAAGTTCGTCCGTCAAACTGTCCAAAAATGCGCTTCAACGTTACCAGTGCAAGGTTTGCTCGGAAGGCATTTTTGTCACAGTTAGCGTAAGACTTTAAGTCATGGGGCACCAGGACTCCTAAATCTTTTTCTACTTGGGATATTACTAGAGAGGAGTTTCCTAAGTTGTAACTGTAGTTTGCGACATGTCGCAGATGGACTACTTTACACTTTGAAGTGTTAAAGGTAAGTCCGTTATCGTCTGCCCAACTTTGAAGTCGAGTCAGATCCTCTTGAAGTGCCTGTATATCGTCTTGGTTGCGTATCTCTCTCCAAAGTTTCACGTCGTCTGCAAAAAGTAGTAAGTCTGACGTTACCTGTTGAGGAAGATCATTTATGTAGATCAAGAAGAGAAGAGGCCCTAGTACTGAGCCCTGGGGGACCCCACTAGGACATTCCATAGCTTGAGATAAAGTGAAATTAACCCTAACCTTAAAGTGTCGATTTTTTAGGTATGAAGTAAGCCAGTCGATTAGAGGTGGTTTGATACCTAGTCGTTTGAGCTTGTTGATAAGACACAAGTGGTTAACCTTATCAAAAGCTTTTGAGAAATCAAGGTAAATGACATCAACCTTTCCCTTGCGATCGAGGATGCTTGTCCATCTGTCCACCGCAGTCAGCAGGTTGGTTATACAAGAGTAACCCTTCCTGAAACCATGCTGTTGGGGTGAGAAGAAATTTAAGGACAGTAGGTAGTCATTTAGACCGTCGCATATCAGGGACTCCATGAGTTTTGAAGGTAACGACAGAAGAGCTACCGGCCGGTAACTTGAAGGTTCATTGCGTCGACCACCTTTGAAAATTGGTGTGATGTGAGCCAACTTCCAATTTTCCGGTAGTTTGCCTCGGCTAAGCGAGTGTGAAAACATCACGCTAAGCGGCGTTGCCAGGATTGAGGCTGCCTCCCTCAGTATGGCAGGATGAACCATATCCGGGCCAGGAGAAGTGTCAAGTCTTAAGTGCTGCAGTTTCCGGAACACCAAGTCAGCGCTTAGGTCCACTTCAGAAAGTCCTGTGGAATTGCAGATGAAACTGTCGTCGATAAAGTTGATATCAGCCAGTTGAAATGTTTGAGAGTAATGGGCCGCCAGAAGGTTGGCGGCGTCGCCATCGTTGTTGGTCGGGCCGTTAGGTCCTAGCAGTTGAGAAACTCCTGTTTTGGCTTGACGAAGAGAGGCTGCATAACGGAATAGGCTTCTAGGGTTAAAGGCGAATTTGTCCATAAGCTTTATTTGGTACTGAAGCCTGTCTTCTCTTATAGCCTTCGTGCATGTGTTCCTGATATGTTTGTATTGCCTATACGCTCCATTGTCATTAGTTCGTTTGTATTCCGCCCAACAGTGCCGTTTGCGGCTTAGGAGGCGAAGGGTACGGTTCTTGATTACTGTAGGTGGCTTGAAGCTTTTGGGAACCGTTTGAGGAACTGAATGGTCTGTAGCACGTAAGAGCGTGTGCAGCAAGAAGTCCCAATGACCATCCACATCGATTTGAGGGTGAACATCCCAAGCCACCTGTTGTAGATGGTCATGTAGAGCTCGCACATTCAGCCGTTTAAAATTCCATCGCAAATTATTGTTGGGATACCTTAGCTTAGTTTTGATGACAAAACTGAAGGCTATGACGGCATGATCGCTTTTTCCCAGAGGAGCCAGGATTGAGAGGTTGTCGACTAGGAATTCTTCGTTAGTGAATACACAGTCTAAGCGCGATGGTGTCTGACTGTTTCTCCAACGAGGGAATAATTCGGCTACTTACTAGGTCGCGTAGAGTCCCACAATGTGCTAACTCCTAAACAACATGGATTTCGTAATAAACACTCGTGCTTAACCAACTTAGTAATCACGAGAAGTAGTTGGACAGCTGCTCAAGATAGTAGTCTGTCTGTCAGTGTAATGTCAATAGACTTTAGAAGATTATATGGTAAGGTCTCTCACTTAAGACTTATACATTTACCAATGAGAGTGTCAACTAACGTGGCATTCTTGTTAATAAACAGTGAATACTGGTCATAATAAAACACCGTAGGTTCTTGTTTTTGCAATTTCTTGTTTTACTGTTTTAATAATTCTTGTCTCATGGTCATTAGCAATATGTGGGCAATACGGGTGTAGCGGTTTAAGTAGGACAGTTGTCGGATGTATTTAGTGCTTCAATGTCAAATATATGTCCGCGTTTGATAGACTATTTTGTACTGGTTGGTTCGCGATTACCTGGGAATGCGTACTCAGTGCAGTCTCCTGAAATTCTTTGTCGATTTCCTCCCACAAACCACAAGGATTTCCCTCTTCCTACAGATGTGTCTTTCTTTTGTCAGCCAGAAGGATGTATTAATACTTCCAGCAACACATTCCCTATAAAATCTTTGGATAATAATCTTGATGGGATAAAGTCAATGACATTTTTATTTTCGCTAACTGATAAGGATTCCAGTAAAACACGGTATGGTATTTGCACCAACTTCTTCAGACCAGTCAACCTTAGAAGTGTGAGTAAAACTACATATCCAAATGGCAGGGAAGGCACACATTTTAGCGACGTATCTGGTAATGGACCAGTTCCATGTTCGAATGAAAGTATCCCGGATAAATCCTTACCATCTGGAAAACTAAAGAATACAAATAATGTCTATAGCTTAACGTCAATCTGTTTAATCACTCATTATCCTTTTGCTACAACGTTTGCACGGCTTGTGCAGTGTGTACATGTAATTTTAAAAAAGCTACACAAATTGTCAAAACCCAGCTGTGTGGAAAGGTAAGATCGAAGCATTTGCAATTTCATGTTGTGGCATTTCTACCAAATTTTCGGGTGAGACCATAATTTATGAACGATCTTTAAGCGACGCTAAAGTGGCCTTGAGGATGTCCACTTACTGACTAGGGCTAAATGAGGGTTTCAAACCTGTGTGGAGGATAAGGATTGTGAATTACAGTTGATGGTTAGGAATAAGGATTAGATTTACGGTTTTCACGAACTGACATAAGCTAAAATGCCAAGGCACTGTTTAGCCAAATGGATAATGAGTTTTGCGTCGAAATCCAAGGCCTGTTGTCGTGAATCTGACTGGTCCGTTCATAAGTCACACTTTCGCCAATTTTCGAGTTTAGGTATTTCTGTTGTTAGTGAAGTTCAAGACCTAAAGTTTGCCACCAAATATTAGCCACTTAAATAAGTTTTTTTTATGTTCCTCAGTTCTTGAGTAATGTCCTGCCAATTATATTCTAGCAGCTGATTGCACGATATAATGAAAGCAAATTTCACCATTTTATATCAAAAATTCGTTTAACCTATCGCTCTAACCAGAATTTCTACCTTCATTTCACTATCACTTCGTAACCAAGATCATCTTATGATATGCTGATCTGGGCGAAGGATTCGTTGAATGATTGAGGCTTTTACTCGTCCCTCTCTCAGTATATATTCTTTTCGATCCTTTTATTCAGTTTGCTGTTGAATCACTTATGAGTAATATGTGAAGATTTTAACAGGGGGATCTTCTGTCAATAGTTATTCCAATTCATTTCTTCTGGTGGTTTAGCATCCACTTTATGACCTGAAGGTTATAGTTTTGATCCTTGGAGAGGTCGTTGGTGTACACTGCATATGGAAAAGTGGTTCATTGATTAAGGTGTTTAATTCAGCTACTAAGCTGGATGTTCTGACCCCATCTGAATTAATTCGAGACAACCAGTTAGTATCAACAGCCCTCACACTCACTGTCTGGAAAACAAGTGCACAATTTTGTCTCTGGTAAACAAGTTATATAAATAAATTAACTAGCAGCGTTCTTCTTCCACTGCTTGAAGATTAGAGTTTTTTTAATTTTTCTTTCATAATAAGCAACAATGCAAGTATGTTCGGCATGCGATCCTCCCCCCTCGAAATGCAAAATATTGCTCCAGGATTGGGTTGCATCGACACCCAAACTAATGATGGGCAGTGAAGTAGTTGAGCGTGTCGGCCGCTTCACTTATCTTGGAAGTTGCATCAGCCCTTGTGGTCTGGTGTGTGACGAAATCTCAGCGCGGATACTGAAGGCTCGACTAGCTTTTGCCAACTTGCGTCATTTATGGCGTAGGCGAGATATCAACCAAAGGACGTGTTTACAGAGCAGCAGTTCACTCCGTCCTACTTCATGGCAGTGAAACGTGGCTGATAAGAGTAGAAGATATTCGTAGGTTACTAGTATTTGATCTTAGGTGTCTTCGAGACATTGCTCGCATATCCTGGGACCATCGAGTAAGTAACACAGTTGTTAGGAAACGGATACTAGGTAAGGATGGCTCATCAATTGATGAAGTAGTAAAACTTCAACAGTTTAGATGGCTGGGACACGTGTTACGCATGCTCAACCACCGACTGCCCCGACGTGCAATGTTTTATGTGGTAGGAGTAGGTTGGAAGAAAGCTGGGGGCGGCCAGACGAAAACATTGGACAAATCCCTGAAGTCACTGACAAGTGGACTGAGTCATGTTGGTAGGTGTAAACTACCTGATTGGGATCTGCGAAACTATAGCAACCGATGGTTAGAGACCTTGAGTGACATGGCTCAAAATCGTTTGCAATGGCGCAGGTTCATCCACTCTTTGTGTTCTCCCGAATTCTAATCTTCTAAATTCTTCATGTCCCTTTCTTTTCTCTTTCCAAATTTGTTTCACCTTATTATACTCCTTGAATAACATCTTCAAACCCTAATCTTTGCGATTACTGCCTACGCTCTTACCACCTCTACCACTAAGGGATTTCAACCGACCATTGCGTCCCTGTGCTAATGTGGTATGTCAACTCGAACTGATGTACGTACGTACGAAGTTCTACGTTGTTACTGACTGACTGACGTTTATGTAATTGGACCAAAAACTTGATTCACCTAACTATTTATGTTGTATTTCATGATTAAAACGTGCTTTAATTGATATCTGTTAGTGAAACTATTATCTTGTGTAACATGTTTACTGTTATCGGTTAATTCCCACATGGACAGATATGCAGTTACACCTGTTTCGTTTTCTCTATGTTATCATTGATTGTTATGTCATCTGTTATTGTCTAGAGTTTACGTCGAGTAATCCTAGTTGTCCACGTTAATCATTAAGTCAAACAGCCATGAATACAGCTTCAATTATGCACGTAATATTTAGTATTCATTATTTGATTTTTTTTTTACCCCAGATCCCTGTGTATTTTAAGTTTCCAATTGTTGATTTGCACTCAGTACTGGTGCTAGGTGTCATAACTTTTACTGATGTATTTGTTTGCAAAATACGACGTTTATAAGCTCATGTGTGTGCACATGTTTCAATAACTTGTTTTATTGATGCGTTTATGTAAGAGGGTTAGAAAAAAAACAAATATATTGGTTTCGAAGATACCCTCAGGCTATGATTTTAGTCCATAGTTATTTTTAATTAAGACATCGCAAGTTCATTCGTTTTTCGAACTGAAGTAAGTTAGAAAAATTTTCCATTTAAGTTCAACCAGGATGTCGCTTATAGGTTTGCCATCATGAGTAGCCATTCGGCTAAGTTTCAACTACTTATCACCTATGAGGGTTTAAGCAGTCATATAGTCGTCAGAACATCCTAATGCTTAAAACCACAGTGGTTTACTAAGTCATATTCTCATTTACTTTTGCCGATGCTAGTTACACATTTTAGTTATAATATTTCCTTTTCAGCTTTTACTTGATCAAGCTCTTAACATTTGTTTCATAAACGATCAGAATTTGTTATAGCTGTTCTGTTAAAAGAGACCACTAATTTTCTTTTCTAGTCCAGATATATGGGATGTATTGACAAGTAATATTACACTATCATGCTCTTATCCTGTTGTGGAAAGCACACGTCAGTTCCAGTGTTGGATTCTCCGGCTTCTCAGTGCACCAGCACCAATTCCTGGCTGTACATGTGTATATGTAAGTATTTGCATTGCTTAATTTCCCTTCATAAGTTGTTGGAAGCAAATTTTGGCATATTTCATTTTCATTTGTGCACATAAAAACGCTACTGATTGTAAATAATTAATTAAAAGTCTTAAAAGTAGAAGCTTTCCCGATGAAAAACTTCGATCTCAATATGGGTATAGCAAGAAATTCCTATCTCATTTAATTAATGTATAAACTACCCCTGAAGTACTCTGGATAATATTTTATCACTGCCAAAGTACAGCGTTAAAAGAGATGGTTTAATATAATTTAGTCAGTATTTTCAACTTATAAAACCCCCAAATGCCCTGGTACGGCCGAGAGTGGGGTGGGCCCCCCTCCCTCTCGAAATGCTCTCACACGGCCACGCGTATACAGCCTGTGCCAGGGAAGTCCTACTCACTGTCTTCTCGTGGCGGGGGTGTTGTTTACGAAAATGGGAGGACGAAAAGTGAATGTCCAGCGCTCTAACCGGATTGGTGGACACGGAAAGTCCACCTAAGGGAGTTGGAAAACCTTGATTCTAAACCAATGGTGCACATGGTCTCCAGTATCCTGAAGGAACAAATGGCGTATGAATTAATAGTTGGTCACCGGCTACCATGGGACTGTATCTCCTCACGATGCTCCACTGCCTTATGGATTAGAGGTTTAGGTCAAAGGCTCAGGGTATGGCCCCCTAAGAAAACCACCTGCTTCGGTTTGGGCACCCGGGCAGTATCACAGTCCACACACATACAAATATGGTGTGGCGCATATATATTTGGTGCCCTCTTGTACCAATATTTATGTGTTCAAATAAATAAATAAAATAAAACCTAAAATTTCCATACAATATTTAAAAAGTAAAAGTATTAGAATAAACGATCGTTTTCGGTAATTTCTTTATCAGACTGTACAGTTACAAAATCCATAGTTATTATTTTCCTGTTACGGTAGATAGAATATTAAAGTTGAAATAATTCATGTTATAAATTGAAAAAGCTAAAGAATATTAGGCGGGGCAATATATCCACGACTTCACATCACTCTAATATAAAATCAATCTATTTAATTATCTGATTAATAGAATCTGACATCTATGTTCTAAGGATAGTATAGAAGGAGAGCTAGGCAAATCATGGATCATACTACTACAAAATGGATACCATCGTAATTTCATAAAGGAATACATAACTCAACCTGAAAGCAAGATATGGATTTCCACAGTTGAGAAGTAAACTGTATCTAAGACTATTTCAAGAGTGATGTAGTGAGCTCATTATGCATGAATTCATCAGTGTTAACTGGTTCAACATTTTGCTTAGTTATATCAATTAGTCAGCTTTGTTCAGTAGTTTGTGATTAACTTTTAAGTTATATAATTTATTTCTTTATTAAATTAACAAAAATCCTCATAGTCCCTTTTTTTACTGATTGATTTACAAACATTTGTGTTAAATTATCTAAATCTTGTTTCTTTCTGTAATAATTCAGCTTTCAGTTCAACCGCAAACCTTAGGTTCACCTTTGTGTTTTGCTCTTCCTGATCAATCACGTCTTCCTTTGGTTGATTTTCCTGTGAATCTGCCTTTTGAAATTATGGGTATCAGGAAAACTTTTCGTTTAATTATGTGTCTTCTATTGGAACAAAAAGTAAGTTTACTTAACTTCATATAATCAGGATCCTTTTTATGTGTTTGAACAGTCAGTCAGATATAACGTAGGACCAGACACATATATACATCGGTCCAATTTGTCATACCTCATTAACACAACAAGGTGAACACACACCGAATTCATAAAGTAGTTAATTCAGTGGTGGTAATATATAAAAGAAAGATTGCATATAAGGACATAGTACAGGAAAAAAGAAAGATATGGAGTAATGTTAATCTTATAAGTTAAAGGAAGACAGAGAGTGTATGCACCTACGCCATGTGATCCATTCTGAGCTATGTCACCAAGACTCTCCAACCATTGGTTACGATAGTAACGCGGACCCCAAACAAATAGTCTGCATCTACCAACATGGCTCATACTAGAAGTTAGTGACTTCAAGCACTGTGAATAGAGATTATTTTTTAATTATTTAGTTAATTAATTAAATTAAACATTTCTGTAGTCGATGTTTGACTGAACCCTTTAAGTATAATATTGGCTAGTGATAACCCGGTTGATCAAACAAAAATATATGAGGTGGGATTTAACCCTGCTCCCTATTGATCGATTTTACATTTTAGTCCAACTTGTTTAGCTCCCACCTTCATATTTATTGATTGTTGATAGATTGTTTTCATCGATATATTTCTGTCTACTTTATTGATTTTGTCTCCATTGGACCTTATTTAAGACCATAATTTGACAGTATAGTGACGTAATTGTTTTTTAAAACCATTTTGTTGATATGATATTATGCATATTAACTGGACTTGAAATGATGTGCATTCGTGTCAGCCCCTATATTGATGACACATATATCTTCTTTCTGTTCAGTATTTTTCGTTTATAGAGTACCGGTAAAATAGACAACTATTTTATCATCCTTAGGACAATATATTTATATTACCAATAAGACATAAACCCAGCATTATTATTTATTATTTATTATTTTAGCACATAGATATTGGTACAAGGAGGCACCAAATACATATGCGCCACACAAATCTTATTCGATATGTGTGAGGGCTGTGATACTGCCCGGGTGCCCAAACCGAAGCAGATGGTTTTCTTAGGGGGCCACACCCCGAGCCTTCGACCTGAAGGTCTGATCCACAAGACAGTGGAGCATCGTAAGGAGATGCAGTCTCATGGAAGCCAGTGACCAACAATTGGTTCATACGCCATTTGTTCCTGCAGGATACTGGAGCCCATGTACACCATTGGTTTGGAATCCGGTTAAAGCGCCGGACATTCACTTTTCGTCCTCTCATTTTTGTAAACAACACCCCCGCCACGAGAAGACAGTGAGTAGGACTTCCCTGGCAGAGGCTATATACGCGTGGCCGTGTGAGAGCATTTCGAGAGGGAGAGCAGACTCTCCCCACTCTCGGGGCATTTGGGGGCATACATTGTTTCAAATACTAGGCTGTTATCCACTAGGCTACGACAAAGTCACTGTGTTCACCAACTTTTTTCTTATCATGTATGATACTTATTGTCAATTATAAGGTGTTGTAATTCATGTTATTGTTATTCAAAACTAATAACATGTGAGCTTCTTTGAATTGCTGACAATATCGAGTTATTGGTTCAATGAGTTCATATTCCAACAAGGACTGATCAAAATCGTCCTTAGATATTAACAACAAGACAATATGAATCCTTTTATTGATTGGTCATTTATTACTATGATTAAATGTTCATAGAATATGATAAGAAGGGCTTATTTAATACTTCGATTCTATAGTATGTACTAAATTTAACATTTACAATTATTAAAATAAGTCATGTTTTACTTACTTACTTGCGCCTGTTACCCCCAATGGAGCATAGGCTGCCGACCAGCATTCTCCAACCCACTCTGTCCTGGTCCTTCCTTTCTAGTTTTATCCATTTTTTGTTCATTTTACTCATTTCTGTCTCCATTTCTTGGCGTAATGTTTTCTTTGGCCTCGATATACGAATGCTAACACTATCTTGTATGAAAAAAAAAGTATTTCTCAGTCAGCCTGTTATAATCAATACATAAGGTCTGGCACAAATGTTCATCGCCTCAATTCTCTACACCACACCATTACAATGAAATAAAAATTTATTAAAATTAATATCAAAATAGTAGAATTAGTACTGTTAGTAGTGTCGGCGTTAATATGATAAGTTAGTCATGATATAATAACTTGTACTTAATAAATAAATAAAATGAATGAAAAGTAATACACGGACATCTCAACTACGATAAGTAACCAATGGTTGGAAACTCTTGGCGACATGGCTCAGAATCAATCACAATGGCGTCGATGTATACACTCTCTGTCTTCCTTTAAACTAAGAGATTAAAATCGCTTCATATCTTACTTTCTACGAACTAATTCTTTCTTCCGGTACTATATCCTTATTTACAATCTTTATTTTTTGTTTTACCACCATTGAAGTAACTACTTCTATGAATTTGGTGTTCATCTTGTTGTGTTAATGAGGTATGGCAAATTGGAATGATGCATATATGTGTCTGGTCCTACGTTGTAGCTGACTGACTGACTGACAACTACGATAAACTCATTCATACGTTTTTATTATTTATTTTTTCAAACACATAAACATTGGTACAAGGAGGCACCAAACATATATGCACCACATAAACCATCCGATTTTTGTGAGGGCTGGGATACTGCCCGGTAGCCCAAACTGAAGTAGGGCAACACTCCGAGCCATTGACCTATAGGTCTGATCCACAAGGTAGTTGAGCTACGTCACAAGATGCAGTCCCATGGCAACCAGTGACCAACAATAGGCTCATACGCCACTTAGTTCCTTATGATCCTGGAGCCCATGGACACCATTGGTTTAAAATCAGGGTTTTCCAACTCTCCTCTGTAAATCCTCCATATCCACCAACCAGGTTAAAGTGCCGGACATTCGCTTACTTAGACTAGTCAGTTCATTTCTGCCAAATGATAAGGTAGAAACTTGAATATAAATAAATAGTTACTGTCGTAATTCAATAAATTCATGCATAGAACTCATGTATTTTAAGCTGTAAACACTTCGTTTTTCAATGTATGACATGAAAGTACACTCGCTTAATAAGTAGTTTTGAAAACGTCTATATTCTACATTACTAATAGTTGATAGTTTGTTTGTTTATAGCTATATGACTATCATTTTTACTGCTAAAATCTAAATGTTTTCTTCCATCTTGGATTTTTTTATCTTTGTGTATAGAATCATTGTATAATTAATCTATATTATCTTATACAATGGTTTGGATTATTTTTTCTGGTAAGCGTTTTTTTAGCGAGTTAGTTTTCTACGGGATGGGGACGCTAACCCCATGCCCAACCCTCCTCCTTTATCCGGGTTTGGGACCGGCAGTAGCCCCCGGAGGGACTCCAGGCGGAGGATCGGCAAAGCAAGGGTCGCATTCCTACAATTGAAGAACATATGGAACTCAAAACAACTTTCAACCAATATCAAAGTGAGAATCTTCAATACGAACGTCAAGGCAGTTCTACTGTATGGAGCTGAAACTTGGAGAACTACAACAACCACAATCAAGAAAGTACGAGTATTTATAAATAGCTGTCTACGCAAGATACTCAACATCCATTGGCCGGATACCATCAGCAATAGCCTTCTGTGGGAGAGAACAAACCAACTTCCAGCTGAAGAAGAAATTAGGAGAAGACGATGGAAATGGATAGGACATACATTACGCAAATCGTCAAACTGCATCACGAGGCAAGCCCTAACTTGGAATCCTGAAGGGAAGCGAAAAAGAGGAAGGCCAAAGAACACATTGCGTCGGATAATAGAAGCAGATATGAAAACGATGAATTACAACTGGACGGAGCTAGAAAGGATTGCCCAGGACAGGGTTGGATGGAGAATGCTGGTGAGCGGCCTATGCTCCTTCACGAGGAGTAACAGGCGTAAGTAAGTAAGTAATCTTATACAATAGTTCATATTTTCACTTAACCATTATATGTTCTAATATATTTTGTCTTCTTTTGTTATCTAGGTGGTTTTACAATCATCTGATTATAATAAGTTATCCTTAACAATTTTATCATTGGTTGCATTACTCTATCCACTTCAATATATGTTCCCAGTTATTCCTCTTCTACCTGCATGTATGCCTGATGCAGAACAGGTTAGTGTGTATTGGATTGAAGTGGTATCTTGATTAAAATTTATTATTATTATTATTATTCAATTAAAAGTTCCTATTCGGTGCATAGTCCCAATCATATTCTCTTAAACTATAAAGAACACAAAGTCTGGTAAGAATGTGTATCAGCCCAAGTTGTTCTACATTTCATGTCAACATATTGAGTGAGATAGAGAGAGAGAGATGTATAATTGGTTAAGTAGAAGGTGATCAATACTTTCAAAGAACTTAATTAAATATTTCGATAAAGATAATAGATAGATTTTACTGCATTAGTACAATGGAATGTAAACTATGTAATCAAAAAACAAACCATATTATAGAGGCATATTGAAATCATATTGTGGTGTGCATTACTTATACGGACAGACATGGTGATAATTGGAAGTGAAATGTTTACTTGCAGAAGATCGAAATGAAGAGAAGAGGCAGGAATACAGAGAGCGATTGGAACAACAGTAGGATTGAAAGAGTGATGGAGTATGTAATGGACAACCTAAGGAAGATATGCAAATGATGTATTCAATTTTTATATTTTACAAATGTACTGTATAATTTTGCATAAAACAATAAATTGGTTTACCATACCTTTTGTAGGACTTTAAGGTCCAAACAAACCCCTGAACAACTAAAGATCTCTCAGATTGTCCTTGAGTGACACGACTATGCTTAGTCTCCTATTCAAATACTTTAAGAAATGTAAGAAGACTAAAATGTATTCATTGTGTACCCATTCACAGCAGTATGGAAGTGATATGTAATTACATTTAATCCTTTGACTTATTTTATTGTAATTTACTATCATTATTGTTGTGAAAAAAAGAACCAAGACATATCAGTGGGGACGTGGATTGAAAAAATGGGCAAGGTCAGCCAGTAATTGGACGAAAATCAGTGTAATTATTTCAGACAATCAGTATACAGAATTGCCGTCGGTATCCTTGAACGACATTGATTGCTAATTTGCCATACAGCATTTTTCATTACCGTGCTGATTCATACAGAAACAGAAAATAGCTCTCCTTTCCGATCAATTGAGGTTTCTGTTTCAGAGACAGCAGCAGCATTTTAAAAAGAATCAGTTGGAATTTATCGACGAATTACACACATGGTTGCTGAATCATCCATGCTTTGTAGATGTGACGGGAGTTAATGAACTAATTTCTAAATTGCGTACAGAGCTGGAAAATGATTGCAGAACGTATGAATGTGTCGATGAAAGCCTCTATGAATCCTTGACAAGCAGTAATGTAAACGAAGCAGTAGCGGTCATTCATAATCCGCCCAGTGGTCCAGAAACGTCCATTTCTATACATGCCCTGTAGTGGGTTCAAATCCCATTGTAACTTAGGAATATGAGAACCTAACATTATTTCGTGGGAGGAGGGAGGATAAATTCATGACCTAAACTTCGAGTCTTCAAGAAAAAGAAGAGGAGGTGACAGGAAGAAAAGTCGAAATTCAATTGATTCACTCATTATGAGTTTTGTTGAACATTACTTCTGTTTTGATTCAATATGATGATTACTCAATGTAGCGTTTGTTACTGTTATCTCATATGATATTTTATTCTGTATAAAATACGATATTCTTGTATTAAAAATTGACATGAATTACGCTTAGCATACGATTTGTTATAACTGAGTATTTTTTATGTATGTCATTTCATCTTAATTATTAAACAAAATGGGTCTACGAATCAATACATAAATAAGTGTATTTTTGACCGGGGTCATCGTCGTCATCATAATCGTGTTTTAGGATTAATAAATCTTCACTTATACCAGTCTTTGTGTTCTTACTTTCGTGTCGTAGGAATTGCAGAGGTCCCTCGTTTCGAGTATAAGTGATAAGCCTTTCCGACACAATAATCAGTGACGACTATATATAAAAAGTAGCATTCAAACAACAAAACATCAGTGGCGACGGGGATTTCGGAAAAAAATTGTGAAGCCATGTCAGTTATCTTACTGACCCGTGCATACCATCTCCAATCTCCACCTCTATTCAGAATGCCATCCAGCATCTTAAGGCAGTTTCAAGTCTGAAATAACGAGCACTACATTATGCATTTGTAATTGGTATTCGGTACACATCACTTGGCTGGATAATATTAATAGTGTCATTCTTAGGTAATTCACTTTAAGCAATCTATATCTTGATTCTAAATGAGTTTTAAAGAAATTAGATGATGATATTGAGTGATTGAAGCGCTTAACCTTCAAGTGTTACGTCACACGGGTTGGAAAGTGATAAACAAGAGTGATTTCTAACAAAGTTCTCGGCTTCCGTAGTTATCAATCACCTCAAGATATTTAACATTGGAATGTCGTGTTACGTGATAGCTATTGTCATAAACTGGAGTTTTTCCTTCCATGTGTTGAAATCCCATTTTTCTGACCATTATTGTAACCTGAATCTTCTCCACACAGCCCAAAAATACCAGCTTGATAATAGATAGAAGTTAGTGAAAACAAGAATAATTGTTCTGAGTGGGTGCAACACAATCACTGTTCGATACTATACGTGAAAAACTCTTGACCTTATTTCAACTATTAAGAATAGAAAGCCTACCCTACAACTATGAAGAATGTACATTGGATAAAAATACCACTTACGTACATAGTTTCTTCGCAGTAATTATTATTTTAATTCAAATAATCAGAACCTAAGTGAATAACTCACTGACAAAATATCATGCTGAATGTATGTATAACAGAAATTGTCGGAGGGAACTCGATTATCTTATTGAAATAATTGATCATTTAAATCATCTGAACACAATTGAGTATTATAGTAAAAGATTTTCATAGTAAACTAATCCATAATCGTACGTTTATCAGTTGTACCTTCAGATTTTACAGAAAACTAAATTCTAAACTCAATAACTGAATGATAGTTTGTCTACTTATTTTTTGCCAGAACCAGAAATAATCTCAATAGGTTACTTAAACAATTAAATTAAACCACTTTTGAAACCACATGATTTAATTAGGGGTTACTATTAAAACTTGTGATTACTTGTGCTCACCTACGAACCCTACCCGAGATTGAGTAAAGACTTTCAGGTTAATCATTGGAACTGATGAGTTAGCGTCCAACATATATGATTCCAACTTCAATCAGTTTGAGATAATTTAATAGTTTGTAATGTGTTTGAACTATCATGCTGAATTACCTTTTACTTAATGATTACCTATTCCTATATTAAAAGGTATTTATCACTTATCTAGATATATTTCGGTTAATTAATCATTTTTTCCCTTATTTCTCATCTGTTTTCTTCATCACTGTGAAAATAATCTAGCTTTTGTTAGCGCCTACACCCTATTTAATTGGTGTTCCGACAGCATTTTATACTGCACGGAAAATTTTTCGTATGCCTAAAGATGTTTGGTTAGCTGATTTGGATACTCGTGAAGTATGTTTAATTCAATTTAATCTTTTTTGTTTTGTTTTTGGATTGTTATTTGGGAGAAAATTGTATCTCCACATTTATTTTCTTTTGGTTTTCTTGTTAAATTTATGTAAGAGGGGCTCAGTGTCTATTACTAATTTGATTTTCTCTCTGATCCTGTAATCAGTTTTTAGTGTTCAGTTTGCAATGATTAACCGTCGAATAAAATTTTTTATTATTCGCGTTAATTAATGGTAACAACAAGGACTTGGAATTAGTCTAAAACCGGTTGAACCTGGATGCACTGGATGGCCGTTTCGTCCTATTGTGGAACTCCTCGGCAATGCGCATCCACGACCCCGCCTCGCGGGATCCGAACCCAGGACCTACTGATACTAATTAATATATGCTCACTAGTGACTGGCTTCAAGATGTATATCCTGAAGTCTTAGTGAGAAGCAGTGACCAGTGGAGTTCAACGCGGCCAGTTGTGAGTTAGTAACTCACTGATGACGATGGTGGATGTGTTGCTCAATTTCGTAGATTAGTTGAAGTTAGACATTAACACCGTTGGATGCCGGATGAGTGGTCTGGTGGTTAAGTGCTGGCGCGCGAGACTGATAGGTCCTGGGTTGGAATCTCGAGAGGTGGGATCGTGGATGTGTACTGCTGAGGAGTCCCTCAATAGGACGAGACGGCCGTCCAGTGCTTCCAGGTTTTCCATGGTGTTCTAGTTTCAATTGACTCATGATCTCAACTACTGAAATTACTAAAATCTCCAGAAAACCCCTTCTGATACTAACCGGTTAAACCTTTAGTCATCGATGTTTTTTATGCTTGAAAAAATGTTTCTTTTAATTTATTGTTGTCCACTTGTCAAATAAGAAAAAATTTCTTGAGACCACTGGGTAGCGGCCCGGTGGCTTACACTTTTGACTTCAATTACATCCTTATTAGTGACTAGGATCAGGAGGTGATCTCGTAGTTTTAGTTGGAACCGGTGACCAGTGGAATTTAGTTATGTTGAGTTTTAGGCAATTACCTACCAAGTATATTGGAAGGCGATTGCACAATATATCAATGGGATTGGAATGCTTACATACCAACTGGGTGCTTGATAATAATACTCAACGTTATTTCGAAATCTTTCACTAACTGTAATGAAAACGTTTTTGATTATATATATCTTGGATCCATTCAGTTTCATGTGGTTTCATTTTTCTGAAAAAACAGTGACTGGTTCGTTCCAGTCACACATAAATTCCTATTATTTGGTCTTATGGTAGGGTAGGCGGTTTGTAGCTAGTGGTGTAATCAAAGATGTGGATTTTCTCCTATCTGGGGTTCATCAGCCGAATATACTTGCTCCCCCATAGTATTGATGTTGAAACTGGGACTCGGATCCAATGTTCTTTCAGTTCAGTTTTACAGTTTACTATCTGTGGTTTTCAAAGCCTTAGAAACCACATTAAGGTTAATCATCGGGAAGCTAATACATTGTCGCTGTTTTTCAGCTTTTAAGCTTCCCAAGTCCCTGGCCTTGTCACCGAATGAATAGTTCCACTATAGTTGAGTTCTGGGTTTACGGAATACATTAGTAAAGAAAATGCCAACTGTTAGAATTTCATCAATTAAAATTAACGATAACTTCGGCGTTCCGCTCGGGAGTCTGGTGTAAGATCCTTCAGAGAATTAATCAAATATCAAATTTATGAAACATGAATAAGGATTCATTATAATAGCTGTATCAAATGAAATAGTTTTTCATATATTTGACATACATTTGGTACTACTAAGTAGTTGATAAAACTAGATTATCTGAATACCTCTTTGTTAAATAGTATTAAGGCTAGATCTAATGAAAATTGCTTTATTGAATGAATGAACTAAAATCAATCAGTCTTATATATTTATATTTATTTATTTATTTTAACATATAGATATTGGTACAAGGAGACTGACTGACTGACTGACAAGGAGATACCAAATATATATGCTCCACACAAATCTCATTTGATATATGTGAGGGCTGTGATACTGCCCTGTACCCGAACCGAAGTAGGTGGTTTTCTTAGAGAGCCACTCCTCAGGCCGTTGACCCGAAGGAATAATTCAAAATACGGTGGAGCATTGCAGGGAGATGCAGTTCCATGGTAACCGTTTGTTCCTTCAGGATATTGGAGCCCATGTGCACCATTGGTTTGGAATCAGGGTTTTCCAACTCCTCTAGGTGGATTCTCCTTGTCCACCAATCCGGTTAAAGCGCCGGACATTCACTTTTCATCTTCTCAAGTTCGTAAACAACACCCCGGCCACGAGAAGGCAGTGAGTAGGACTTCCCTGACAGAGGCCATATATGCGTGGCGATGCGAGAGCATTTTGAGAGGGGGAGCGAACTCTCCCCACTCTCGGCCGTACCAGCGCATTTGAGGGCATAATCAGTCAGTCAGTCAGTCAGTAACAACGCAGAACTTGGTACGTACGTACATCTGTTCGAGTTGCCATACTACATTAGCACAGGGATACAGTTGTCGATTGAAATCCCTTAGTGGTAGAGGTAGTAAGAATATAAGCAGTAATCGGAAAGATTAGTGTATGAAGATGTTATTCAAGGAGTATAATCCAGTGAAATAAATTTGGGAAGACAGGAAAAAGAGAGAAGAATTCAGGAGATTAGAATTTGGGAGAACACAAAGAGTGGATGAACCTGCGCCATTGCAAACGATTTTGAGCCATGTCACTCAAGGTCTCTAACCATCGGTTGCTATAGTCTCACAGATCCCAATCAGGTAGTTTACACCTACCAACATGGTTTAGTCCACTTGTCAGTGACTTCATAGATTTGTGGGATGTTTTCGTCTGACCGCCCCTAGCTTTTTTCCAACCTACTCCTACCACATAAAACATTGCACGTCGGGGCAGTCGGTGGTTTTGGCATACCGACTGCTCCATCAGCATACGCAAAGAGATTCATTCAGATCTTCTTAATGAATAATACATAGGTTCAAATGCCTATTCTGAATTTTATTGTTAATGTGAAGTATTATTTATAACTTGAAATGTACATGATTAATTGAATTTTATTATTAAACCAGTTGATGATAAAATACAGTTTACAAACTTCAGTCATTATGGTTAATGAGAATTGTCAACATGTTGTTTTTGTTTATACTCCATTTCAGTTATCTTATCCTATGGTGGTTGATGAAATACCAGAGTTACCTGAAATAGAAAGTAACATTCTTATTAATCATTTAAAAAAAGTACGTGCATATTATAGTAATTTTAATGTTTGAAATCATGAGTTAATTGAAGCTAGACCACCATGGAAAACCTGAATGCTGGCTCAGTGGCCTAGTGTTTAAGCGCTCACGCGCGAGACTGATAAGTCCTGGGTTCGAATCTCACGAGGCGGGATCGTGGATGTGCGCTGCTGAGGAGTCTCAAAGTAGGACGAAACGGCCGTTAAGTGCTTCTAGGTTTTCCATGGTGTTCTAGCTTCAATTGACTCATGATCTCAACCATTAAAAGTACGTGCATTAATTTTCTTTCATTTTTTTACTGTGAATGTATTTATTTTCTGTGTGTAAACAGTTTTTAGTGACAATCTGATAAAAGTGTTATTTCAACTATAATAGGTTTTCAGTCAATAGTTTGTTTCCTTTTTTAGCCATCAAGGATTACAGTCAACATGTATTACGACTGACTAATTTTCTTAGCTTTTTCGAAAAAAAACGTAATATGTCTGTGTGATCTGTTATTCGACCCTCTTTTATGTAGTCTTCTCACTTATGTTCAAAGTTTGGGATCAGAATTGAATAAAACTATTATTCGTAATAGGCTAAAGACTCAAATCACTTTTAATCTCCAGTTAAAGCTGGAAGCTGATACATTTATGTTCTTCCTTAACCTGATTGATCAAGCGCTTATAATTATAATCGATTTCACTTTTTCTCCGGGAGCATATATCACATCAAAGTTACTGGTAAAAGATATCGATAACCTTTGATTTTTCTTCACTGAATTCACATTAGAGATAGTAAACCTCCTGTTGTATTTCTGCCTTCTGCTTTTGCTCTGAGTTAAAGCATCGAAAGTTTATATGAGCTTAAAAGCCTGTTAGGAAGTGCGCATCTCAAACGTTTTAATGTACTAGATGTAACAATATTTATCATTATTGTTACTTTTGTTCTAGTTTGTGAACTGTTTTGTTAGGTTGTTTTTTGATGTTTCTGTTGTGTGTACACAAAATTCAATTCTTGATTAATCAGAGAGCACTGTCGATGTATTGATGAGTAGTTCTGAAGATATTGATACATAACTAATAAAGAGTAAGTTATTAATAACCTTATTGCGGAAATACATTAAATTACACAAAAATTAAATTAAAGATCATCATTTATCTGCTTCAACAGATACATTGTTGACTGAATTCTTGGGAAAAAAGAGTGTATGTGTCAGTTTTACTGCAGAAGCTGTCGATTTCCTAATTGACTTCATACAAATATTCTTGACTAGTTAGAAAACTGGAATGAAAAACGTCGATTCATTGTACAATATTAATTTAAGAATTTGTATTTTTTCCGTTGTTGATATTTAGTATCGAATCGATTTATCTCTCAGTTGGATTATCAGCAATCAGGTACAGTTACGAACAGTTAACGAGTTGTGAATTAAACGAAACTTATGTGTATTACTTCTCACTAAAACTGTCTTAAATGTAAATTTGATTGCAAGTTTCCAACTATTCATATTGTGATCTTATCTTCAAATTCTTTTTTTACAATGGACTTATCAGTTACTTCACGAATTTTCAAGTTCACCTCATATTGATTTGGATTTGGATGATTCTTCGAAACATTGGCCTGTTTCTGTAGTACGTACAACTGCATTTGAGTTATCGAAATTTGATCCTTTATTGTATACACTGACAAAAGATTCTGTTGATGTCGGTATACGTGTATCTATGGTAAGCGGAACTGGTAATAACACTAACGATAATAATGATAATAATATGTGTAGATTTTCCATTAGTATGGCTTTGTAAAGATCTTTTTTGGCATCCCCCGATAACTTCCTCGATAAATTCTTCAATATTCAGGAAAAGGGTGAAAACACTTGGTCCAATATGCATCCATTTTCAATTTCCCAAAATTAATGGGTCATGTACCATACTCTGATTAAATAGTTGCTTTCGTTATTATGTTCTACATGCTTCCAAAAGTTTCTACAGGATCATGGTTATACATAAACCTTTAAATACTCTTGATCTTCTGAATATAAGAAAACTGTGAAGTAAAGCATCTGTTCTTACTTCGAACTTTTCATCCACTTTTGGGGGCTGCAATATAGGGAAACTCTGAGGATTTAGGAAGCAGCTAAGAAGTCATTATTAAGCTTTTGAATACAAAAATTACTGGTCTAATACAGCTTAAATGATAACGCTATTGTAAACTGTGGTAGGAGTAGATTGAAACCGAAATGTTGAGCCAGTCTATGAAATTACTGATAGTTAATCTAAGGGATGTTGATAGGTGTAGATATGGTGCCTTGGTATGGTCGAGGGGGGAGAGTCAGCTCTCCCTCTCGAAATACTCTCACATGACCACACGTTTACGGACACTGACGGGGAAGTCCTACTCACTTCTTTCTCGCAGCGAGGGTGTTGTTTAGGAATGTCCGACACTTTAACTGAGTCGGTGGATATGAAGAATCCACAGAGGGGTATTGGAAAACCTTGATTCCAAACCAATGGTGCACATGGACTCCAGTATCCTGAAGGAACAAAAAGCGTATGAACCAATTGTTGGCCGCCGGTTACCACGCGACTGCATCTCTTTACGTTGCTCCACCGTCTTGTGGATTATTCCTTCGGGTCAAAGGCTAGGGGAGTGGTCCTCCAAGAAAATCACCTACTTCGGTTTGGGCACTCGAGCAATAATCCAGCTCTCACACAAATCAAATGATTTATGAAGTACATATATAGTTGGTGCTTCCTTGTACCAATGTTTATGTGTTTAAATAAATAAATAAATACTTTTTCATTCTTTCTCGAACCATAATATCAATCCATAGTTTGCCTATCATACCTATTATAGTTATTTCGACTCTTTCATATCATTTTGATGGCATAATTATATGAACTTAGGTTGACGTATATTTATCTTATAGTGATCTGCTTTGATTATAGCCTGACTGACTTATGACAAATTAATATCGTTAGATCGACCTCTTTTTAATTTAATTTTGTTGATCTCATCTTTTCCTTTTTTCTATGAATCATAACAAATAAGCCTTGTTGTACAAATTTCTTAATAGATCCTGTTTTGTAGACAATTAATTGATTATTATCAGAAGGGGTTTGTGGAGATTTTAGAAATTTCACAGATTGGAATCATGAGTCAGCTAGAGCTAGACCACCATGGAAAACCTGGAACCAATGGACGGCCGTCCCCCTGCAGTGCGCATCCACGACCTCGCACCCCGCGGGACTCGAACCCGGGACCTACTGGTTTCGCGCGCCAGCACTTTACCAGTAGACCACTGAGCCGGCATCCAACGGTGTTAATGTCTAACTTCGACTAATCCACGAAGTTGCGCCACCGTATACCATTGTCTTCAGTGAGCTGATATCTCACAACAGACCTGGTTGAACTCCACTGGTAACGGCCTCCTAACTAGAACTCCAGGAGTATCTCTTGAAGTCAGTCACCAGTGAGCAGATGATTATTATCAGAAGGGGTTTGTGGAGATTTTAGAAATTTCACCAGTAGGTCCTGGGTTCGAATCCCGCGGGGTGCGGGAACGTGGGTGCGCACTGCTGAGGAGTCCCATACTAGGACGAAACGGCCGTCCAGTGCTTCCAGGTTTCCCATGGTGGTCTAGCTTCAACTGACTCATGATTTCAATCTGTGAAATTAATTGATTGACTAATATCATTATTCACTGTTTCCCTCTGTTTTATAGATTCTCTTCTTCAATACAAACAACATTCTAGGTGGATTTACTAATCATATACGTACTTTACGATTATTTCCTCGGCCAGTCGTTGCATTTCAGTATGAAAGTTTTATGAAGTCTCGTCCAAAGCCATGTTTGTTTACTAGCATGCTTGCAAAAACTCAGGTATGTACCATTATGCAAATCTATATGCATATATTTATTTTTCTGAATGTATTTAAACGGCAGTTATGTAACTGTTTCATACATCATACTATCGCTCCGTATATTTATGACATAGACCATGTTTCAAAGACTTGAGCATGCACAATCAGTCGACCAAACTATAAAAGCTTTCGCCAATATGTTTTTCCTTAAGTGACTCCGTTTGTTGTTTCAGATCCTTTGTATCCTACCCTCCTCGTAACATGACTCGCTACACTGTCTATCGACATAAGCAGTATGTAACACCAATAGGAAGTGGAAACCCTGGAAGCATAAGGCTATGATAGTCGACTTGAAGAAAACATAAACAGAAATAGAAAGGAATTGTGAATTGGAAGAATCATACAGAATGTAAAGTACAAATGATGGAAGTTCGCAAGTGAAATGCTCAATATATCATTCTCATATTTTACCAAGAGATCCTGTAATTTTGTATCAAATAGCAAATTGGTTGTCCCCACCAGAGTATTCATTCATTATAATACTATTCGGTAACCGAAACCGAAATAAGTGAGTGTATGATCTAATTGACTAGAAGCGGATTGTTAAACGTTGCGTAGATTTTGGTGCTTTTAACAACACACCATTTATTCTGACTTGATTCAGTTTTACGTAGTTGCTTATTGTTTGATACATTATTTCCAACTCTTCACGACGAAATCTGTCGATGTCATTTTATCATTTAATCTCATATTTTTATTAAGATGGAAGGTTTATAGAGTTTATCCAGTTTTGAAGGATATATTGTTGTTATAACCCTAGAGAACTGATACTTGTTACAAAAACACAATGAAATTCGCGCGACTCAAAGAAGAAGCTGAAACTAATGACGGAAGCATATTTTATTCACCTTCTAAAAGACAACTATCATTTAATAGACTGATTTCGACTTGGGAACCGTATAAAATTACGGAGAATTAAATAACTATTTCTTTTTAACATAGTAATGTTTAATAAGTAACTCATTTACCTGATAATTGTTTATGAACGACACTCAAAGTGTAAGGAGTACTGATATTACTCGGTTACTGAAATCGAAACAGGCAGGTCGGAGTTAGAACCTGAAATCTACCGCCTGAGATCCGGATGCCCAAATCACTGAGATACAGCTCTGTTTCTTAGCATAGAACTTAATGGTACTCACCAACGACCCCTTAGGGGTATCTCTTACAAGTCTCGTGATAAACGTATTACCTTTTCAAGACTAGAAAATTGGTATCAAGTAATAGTTCGCATCTAACTTCATCTAAATTGTCCATCCTTTTTCATATATTATTCTAGGCTGTTGAATATTTTGCTGAATCTTCAATTTGTGCATTGAATGAAGCCTATCAACGTATCTGTTCAGGAGTTTATTCCACAGAATTAATTGGTGATAAGTTATACTGGTATAAAAATCAGTTAAAACCAGTCTATTTTGATTGTTGTGACAAATTAATCGATTATGCCAATGTTACAGCTACTAATACACCCATATCAAATCAATCATCTCCCAAGCTCAAACTATCCTTATCAAATTCCAACCAGTTAATGTTATTTCAAGCTTTTGAATTAGCAAAACGTATCATAAATAGACGATGTTCTGGTGATATAAGTACAGAGATTGATACAGATAGCATAAATAATGATACAAATAATTTATCGAATGATGCTCAAACCAATGATTTTATTGGTTAGTATATTGTTTTTGACATTTTTAATATTATGCTTCTTCAATAAATTTCAAAATATCTAGTTTATGCCTTATTCGATTCTGATGCAACTACTAATCACCAAACAATGTATAGGCTATAAAAATAAAGGGATAGCTTTGTGAAGATATAAAAGAGGGAAGTAGAGTGCCAACAACGAAAAAAATAAGTGAGCATGAATGGTATACGATAAGAGAATAGAGTTCAGTTGAAAGTATAACCTAGAAGGGATTTATTTTATCTGGCGCGTCGTCGCTGTTATGTACATATAAACTCTGTTGAGTCTGCAATCTTACTGCTTATATTGGACAATCGGGAACCATTTCAATTCCCGGGTTGTACTGCTTACACTTTGAAACAAGAATCACTTCGATTTGCCACGACGCCAAGTGAGAATACGAAATTCGTGCAGTGAAGGTATGTTGACTGTTAAAAAATACGTCCCCAAAAATTCCGTATATCATATCGTTATTAGACCAAAATATGATCATTTATGTACTCACTCTTACATTCAGTAATATCGCATTTAGAAAATACATAGAGCTACTGTACAAAACACACTAAATTTAGTTCACCCGAATCTTTACAGGGAATATGTCAAGCTAAACGAAAGTCCACATTTGTGGTTTACTAAATGAAATTTGTACTAAATCGACCTTAAAACTTCATGCTGAACAAAGTTTACATGTATCATCCTTGCTGAAGTTCATAATGAGTTGATACTTAAAATATTGACCTAAATACTGTAATTATATTATCCCGTTATGTCCACTTCTTTCAGTGAACCAAGTACATTAGAATCTCCATGATCTTCTATTTTGACCTATGTCTGATAGCGTATAAAGTAATTGACGTTACTGAACATTGTTTATAGATACACAGACCGGCTTGTTGATGTTCAGATGATAACTGCAGTTAAAGTACTTAGACGGTTTAGAATTGCTCAACTTTGTGTCTATATACAGATCATAAATTGAATAAATACTTTAAATAACAATAGAAAGTTGTCACGATCTGCTTAGAAATAAACTAGTAAGTATTTTTTTAGGTATTGTAGTGAACAAGAACACCGGTAGGGACAATCAGATGTATTTAGCACAAAATTACAGGACTTGTTAATAACATCTAACAATCATAAAGTAAATGCTTAATTTGAAAAATGTCCACCAGTTGTCTCAAAATGACTCAGACTTCATTGCTCTTGCATTTTCATACAAATTGCATCTTGTTTCTATTCTTTACTGTTCGATCTCCTTGTTTCTCTGCTGCCAGAACTTCTATTCACGACTATCATAATATACTACTTATGTCAATATAAATAACACACACCACAGTATCATTACCAAGGTTTGATTTGATAATTTCGAATAAATTGAGCATTGGTTAGATTGTTATAAATAAATCAATATATTTGTAGATATCCCGATGAGTAGAAAAATTAGATTTTCTTAGTGTAGGCCACTTCTTCAAAGAATAAATAACCAAAGTAAGTACTTTAGAAAATAGATTTTATTGACTTTGTTAGTTTGTAAGAAGTACTAATATTGGTCGCTAAAATTGGCTCTGAAAGTTTAATGTAAATGGATTAGAATGTTTCTTGTTTATTTATTGTTAATCTTTTCAGTGATATCTGTTTTTAGTTTGTGTCATCTACTGTCATCTACTTTTGCAACCTCAAGTGGTGTCCGTCAAGGCTGTCCACTTTCCCCATTTTTGTTTAACTTCATCATAGATCTACTGATGGAAATAACTTTCTCGTCGACTGAGTTCTCGGGTATTGATCTCCTACCAGGAGGTCCACTTATCGACTTAGAATACGCAGATGACATAGTCCTGTTTGGTGAAGACGCTGACAAAATGCAGAGTCTTCTGGTAGCACTGAGCAACAATGCCAGAATGTTTGGAATGCGCTTCTCTCCCTCTAAATGCAAGTTGTTGCTTCAGGACTGGTCTGCGTTAACACCTGAACTAAGGATAGGGAGTGAAGTAGTCGAACGCGTTGACAACTTCACTTATCTTGGAAGTCTGGTCAGCCCTAATGGGTTGGTATCGGATGAAATCTCAGCACGGATTCGAAAAACTCGATTGGCTTTTGCCAACTTGCGTCACCTATGGCGAAGGCGAGATATCCGTCTATCAATAAAAGGACGAGTATACTGCGCGGCAGTCCGTTCTGTTTTAATTTACGGCAGCGAAACATGGCCATTAAGAGTAGAAGACACTCGTAAGCTATTAGTATTTGACCACAGATGCCTTAGAAATATTGCTGGCGTCTGCTGGGATCACCGGGTAAATAATAGTGAGGTTAGACGCAGGGTATTAGGGAATGATGGTAAATCAGTTGATGAGGTTATGAATCTTCATCGACTGAGATGGTTGGGCCACGTGTTACGTATGCCTGAACACCGATTACCACGACGTGCAATGCTATCCGGTATTGGAAATGGTTGGAAGAAAGTTTGGGGCGGCCAAACCAAAACGTGGCATCAGTGCTTGAAGTCACTAACTTGTAGTCTGAGCCATGTTGGTAGATGCAGACTACTTGGTTGGGGTCCGCGTGACAATCGTAACCAATGGTTGGAGACTCTTGGTGACATGGCTCAGAATCGATCACAATGGCGTCGACGTATACACTCTCTGTCTTCCCTTAAACTAAGAGATTAAAATCGATTCATATCTTTCTTTCTACGAACCAATTCTTTCTTCTTGTACTATATCTCTATATGCAATCTCTCTCTTATATATTACTACCTTTGACCTAACCACTGCTATGAATCCGGTGTTCATCTTTTTGTGCTGATGCGGTATGGCAACCTGGACCGATGCACATATGTGCCTGGTCCTACGTTGTAGCTGACTGACTGAAATCACAATTTATAGTTACAGTGTGTGTCTACCTCTTTAAACAGTAGGTTTAACCTATAATTTATGGAGAGTTTAGTAAGCTAGTGAACCCAAATACCAATGTATTTGTTAGGTATATAGCTACCTACCTAGAACATAGCACGTGTTAGATGCTCATATCTTGATTTGAATTATAGAGTACACAGTACAGATCGTTTTATCCAATGCTACAGATTTGAGACACGAATTTTGAAAATGAAAAGTATCTACAAACCACTGATATTGAATCTTAGTCGTTTTGTAAAGATTTCTGGCACGTGAGGAAACCGCTGAGTGAAAAATGAGCTTACGCTTAAAACTCTCTCTAGTCATTCTTATTACCTGTTTGTGATCTGTTTCTCTCTTGATAATATCTTTCTCTTTCCTAAGGGATGTTCATTTCTTCCATTTCTATTTGATTTCGGCATAGACGTTCTACTAACGAAAATAATAATCGCAGTTATGTCCTGACGTTTTGACTGTCTGCCTTATAGTACTCCTATATCTACGGAATTCATTTTTTCAATCATATAAGAAAATGAAAAACATAAAATGATAATTCTGTTGTGGAAAAATATTGTTAGAAAACAACTATTCATCGTTTTCTATGCCATACGCGTTTTTCCTGTCGCGTTTACTACGTGACTTTCGTTATGTGGAATGATGCCATATGATAGATTTGATGCAATTCATTTTCCAAGTACAGAGTTTAATGAAATTAGCCTTGTGTCACACCCTCTATGTGTATGTGTATATGTTTTTGATGTTGTCAGATACAATCCATTTGCGTGAATCGAAGGGGGCTCTAACGAGATAAAATTCTTTCCATGATTTGCTATTCATATTTTACAGTTAAGACCTTTGAAGCAACCTGATTGAGAGTAAATTTTGTCAAATTATTACTGTAGTTGACCGAATGTTTTTAAAAATCATGTCTTGTGTTTTTTTTCTCTTTCAGGTATGTTTAAAACCTATTCCGATGACTCTGACTCAAATCATTCTTATGAAAACATTGTGTCAAATCGTACAATATCGAAAGAGATGGAAGATTGTATTTCAGTTCAAGCAAATAAACCATTGCCTGATTGTCTAACTGAATTTTACACTCCACCAACTGAGTTAGTTTATAGCAAAGAACCTAGTACTACACATTGTAGTCTATCATTGGAAAATGCCGTAAGTTACTAAGTGTATGTAAACTTAACAACATAAACGATTATTTCTCATTGTTTTTTTGACGAAAAGATATTTGGATCTATCAATGGTTTATTGGTTAGAGTACTCATCATCCTTCTAACCATTAAATCGCAATTTTAAACTCCACATTTCATGTATTTAGCTTTGGGCAGTCGCATAGTATCACTAGCTCTCATGTAACTAAATTGTACCTTAAAGCCATATATTGGATAAATTAATTAATTCCCATCACATAGACTTCTCACAGTTTCATTTGATATTTTCAAACAAATAGTGCTATTTAGTCCACGGTTGAAAAAGAAAATTGGCGTGTAAAAATGAATAAATATTGGTAACTTTATAATGAACTCCATTTCATAAATAAGTGATTCGGTTATTATGTTGTTAAATCTTTTTTATCTGACTGACATCAATCACAGTTTGTGTTCGCTTTTTCGTCATGCTGTTCATTGACAGTTGTATTTCAGCACTGATCATTGCCCATACGTGAAAGATGTAATACTGATTAGGGACCTAATATAAAGGAGATATATTTCTTAAATGTTCATCCTCTGAGTCTTTGACTTTAAGGTTTAGTCCTCATAAATGTAGAATAAAGTTAGGTGATTTACTCCCTCGGTACCTTTATGACAAACAGGCTCTCGATGTGGATACATTCAGCCGCATAACATTGGTCTCTACTCAATGACCGATTAGTTTGTATTGTTTAAAGCTTAACAATGTTAGCTGATTATCGATTTCCTATCCGATTACATTTCCATCACTGATTCTGAATTAAGTGTTTATGAAGTGGAAAAATGTTTTAAATATGAATCTGAGTTTTATTTATCATTCCCCCGTTTTGTTTATTTAGGAAAGTACATTGTCGAATTTCTGGAGGTGAGTTCATGTATATTATTCTATATAATTTTCAATGAAAAACGTATCATGAGACGAGTTTTGGATATCATGGTTGTTGTCTTTCTTGAGTATTTTTTCCGCAGATACAGTTTTTGATGTTATTATACATATGATGGTGTCTCGGGTAATATGCAAATAGTTCGCCTTTAAAATGCGCTTCAAGTGAGAACACGAATAAGATCAGTTTCGTTCAGTCATTAAAACGTTTCTACAGAATATACTACAATAAAGAGCATCAGTGTCAGGGATCGTCTAGGATCACTGGTTTACCACTTAGTCTCAGCTTCTTCAAATAATGCTAGGTATTTAAGGTGTTAGGGCTACGTCCATGAGGGTTACTATAGCTAACAAACATGTTTTTAAGAAATACTTTATTTCCAAACATATTCCTTCTCCATATCATTCATGGCTTTTCAATTAAATTGTTCAACTACAACACTTTTACCGAATGATATTTATATTCGAGTTGAAAGCGATCTTTGACAATGTAGTTTGTGGTTAGCTTCGCTTTAAAACTGTCCAACAGTACAAAAAGAGTCTTATCCAATAATGGTAACTGTTGATTTGTGTATTAATCACACCTACATGGAACTTTATACATAACGGAACCTCGTTGTTTGACAGCTGTTCCTAGAACCCACAAACGATATTACTTGTACTCTCAATCATGGATCATAATTTTCTCGATCGTTTGGGCAAGCTTATTTGTTGATACATTGAATCACATAAAGAAGACAGTTGTGAACCGAGTTTAAACATTTATTGTAACAGTGTAGTATTAGAGAAATTAGCTTGCCTAATTGATTTTGGTTTTTCTTAAATGGTAATAATATTAACATCAATTATCCAATGATAGTCTATAACATCAACGGAAAGATTCAAATGACTAATACAAATGAATTAACATTAATAGTTTTCTAATGGTTGGTTGAAAAAGAAAACAGTTGTATACATCGATCAAGAATTCCGTAATATCAATAGTTGATTTTATGAGTCATTTGAAACTAGAACACCATGGAAAACCTGGAAACACTTGACAGCCGTTTCGTTCAATTGTAAGACTCCTCAGAAGTACTCATCCACGATCCCACCTCGCGAGATTCCAACCCAGGATCTATCAATCTCGTGTGCAAAGGCTTAACATCTAGACCACTGACCCGTCATCCAACAGTGTCAATGTCTAACTTCAACTAATCCAGGAAATGGAGCGACACATCCACCATTGTCATCAGTGAGTTTCTACCTCACAACAGACCTGGTTGAACTCCACTGGTTACTGCTTCTCACTAGAACTTCAAGAAATACCTCTTGAAGCCAGTCACTAGTGAATATATGCTGATACTAATTCCATAATAGTTCATCGAATAGGTACTGTGATAATTGTAGTCATTGTTTGAAAGAAGTTTGGATTCTCTATTAATAAATTTACTGAATTTTTTAACGGAACAATTTTGATATTGTCAAATAAATAACATCAGTCAGTCAACTACAGCGTAGGACCAGACACATATACGCATCGGTCCAAGTTTCCATACTTCTTTAGCACAGCAAGATGAACACCGGATTCATAGAAGTAGTTAATTCAGTGGTGGTAATATATAAAAGAAAGATTGTGTATAAGGATATAGTACAGGAAGAAAGAAAGATATGAAGCGATTTTAATCTCATAGTTTAAGAGAAGACAGAGAGTATATACATCTACGCCATTTTGATTGATTCTGAGCCATAACACCAAGAGTCTCCAACCATTGGTTACGATAGTCACGCAAACCCGAACCACGTACTATGCATCTACCAACATACTACTTATTTCTTTTTAGTTATCTGCGATGTTAGTTGATGATATATAATAGAAACTAATTGCTTGTTGAAACATGATTAGTTTGTCGTATTTTTGTGCTTGTTTATTTGATTTTCTTTCTTTCTGGCACACAGATAAACACTTTTTTCAAAGCCATTTTTTTCTACGTTAGTATAAATGTATGTACATATGATGTTTGACAAGCTTATAACGTATTATGTTAAATGTGTTTATAGTTTATAGACTTGGTGCTAATAATTACGAATACTGATTTCCAATGTCATATTATTATGGATTCCTAAATGATCGATCGTATCGTTCAGGATTCGTATATCATTATCATCATCATCATTGAAACTTGAGATAACATTGATAAAGTCAGTAGATCAAAGTTGTATTGGAAATTAGCATGTTTATGTTTCTTTCTGTAATAAAATTGATGAAGTATGCAAATCTTCACTAAGTTATGTAATTGGTAGAAATAGTTGTCTAAGTTGGTTGATTATTCAATTAATTGTGGATATTGGCTGACATGTTCCTCTCTAAACTAGAAAACGACCCACCGGCACAAGAAATCGACAATTTTTCATTTTACTGCCGATATATGGATGATACATTTATCCTTTGTAACAACCATACGAACTTCATAGAAACACTCGAGCGTTTCAATACAGTTCACTCGTCTATAAATTTCACATGTGAGAAGTAAGATGGGGGGGATAGAATAGCCTTTCTAGATGTTCTACATACAAGGAAAAAAGACGGGTCACTAATATGTTAACATAAACAAGAAAACTACTTGGACGGGCCAATCTACAAACTTTCTTAGTTTTAAAGGGGATGAATGTATTTGTAAAATCTCAGCGAAAGAATTTGAAGTAAATCCAACGTTTCGCCTGGCAATCTGGTCCAAGCTATTTTTTAGTTTTGTTCCTCTGCAATACAAAAGAAAGCTTATTAAGGCACTGTATCACAGAATCAATACCGTGTACTCTCTAGATGAAACAAAGGCATTATACTCAACCCTGAAAAATGGATATCCCGAGAACTTTATAAATAAAAACATAGCCAATAAAAGAGAGCATAGAGAATGCCTAACTGTGAATAAAAAGTCTCTGTATATACGCTTACAATGATTAAAGACTTTAGATGACATAGCTCGAAATCGTTTACAATGGCGCAGATGCATTCATCCTTTGTCTTCCCCCAAATTCTGGGATTCTTAATTCCCCATATTTTTTTGCTCTTTTTATTTCGTTAATTTATATTTTCTTGATAATTTTACTAACTCTACTATTCTAGGATCTGGCCTGGCAACTTCATATTTCGATACTAATGTGGTATGGCAACTTGAATCGATGTACATACCTACCAGGTTTTACGTTGTCACTGACTATTTGTTAATACAAACTACCTAGTTAACGTGTGGATAAATTCACCCTTTGTTTTTTTTTGTGGATCCAGAGTTATGATATTCCTTCATACATACCTTTTCATTCCTTTCTTCTCGAACCATATTTTCAATGTTTAGTCTCTCTCTCTTACTATCATTGGTACTACGATTATTTAGAATTCTTTGTTATTCATCTTGTTTTGGTAACTCTGACTAAAGTACATTTTTGTCAGACTCTATTATGATTGTTAGATTAACTGAATAGTCGACTTAATATTATTTAATTATATTGTATCAATTTATAAATAAATATGTCAATTTCAGTTATTGCCATTATTTTTCAATGTTCAATACTTGCTTACTTACGCCTGCTACTCGTGGAGGAGCATAGGTCAACCACCAGCACTCTACATCCAACCCTGTTCCTAGCAATTCTTTCCAGCTTTTCCCAGTTGTTTTTCATTCTTTTCATATCTACTTCTATTTCCCGACGTAATGTGTTCTTTGGTCTTCCACTCTTCTGCTTCCCTTCAGGATCCCAAGTTAGGGCTTGTCTCGTGATGCATTTTGATGATTTCCGTAATGTATATCCTATCCATTTTTATCATCTTTTCCTAATTTCCTCTTCAGCTGGAAACTGATTTATTCTCTCCCACAGTAGGTTGTTGCCGTTGGTATCCGGCCGATGAATGTTAAGTATATTGTGTAGACAACTATATATAAATACTTGTACCTTCTTGATGATGGTCGTAGTAGTTCTCCATGTTTCAGCTCCGCACATTAGAACTGTCTTGACATTCGTATTGAAGATTCTGTCTTCGATATTGTTTGACAGACAGTTGTTTTGTGTTCCATACATTTTTTTAATTGTAGGAATGCGGTCATTGCTTTGCCAATCGTCACCTTTACGTCTTCATCCTATCCTCCTTGTTCATCAATGAATGTTCAATATCTTTAATTCTGATTTGTTTATTCTTAACTGTTGTTTTTTTATGTATATATTTAGTCAATCTACTCTGATAACGTCCGATCCCAGGAATATTAACGAACAACTGATAAATACGGTAGGATATAAGTTTTATTAAAGAAAAGTACTCAGATAATTTTTAATAGTTATGTATTCCATTATGTTATTTGTTCATCTATTTATTTTGTCCATGTTTAAATAGGTGTAGGTTATGTAAAAAAAATAAGTGGATTAATCAACTCATTCAACTGGTACTCGGATATATGCAGCACTCTAAGTGTAAGGATTAATAATACTTTTTGGTTGTTAAGATTGAAGTGAATGGAGCGTAAATTGAATCTGTGACTTAGAAACTGGTAGTCGAACACCCTGACCACTAAGTCACCGCCCCAGCAATCCTCCAAATAGTTCGTCGATATGAGATTATATTATAAAGAAATAGTTTCTTCGTATACAGTTTGAAGAACAATCTTAGATTATCAGTGATACATATAATAATTATTATTAATGGCTTTATTCAGTGTTATATTTTTGGTACAATATAGTATTCTTAGCACAAAGTGTTCCAACAAGTTTCCATTTCTTACTTCTTGATCGATCCTTGCGATAAATATTAAGTGATCGGCAGTTAGATGTTAGCTGTTTTGGGAATAGACATTCGAATAATGTTCATTCTTTTCGATGCACATTGCCAGCAACCACGATATCCCTGATTGGGCCCTTTTGCAACTTGTACAACGAAAGGTTGTACACTTTTCAGGAACACACCTGAATAGGTTATGCAATTAATAGATATAATGGTATGTTAAAACAAACAAGGAAACTGATAACTTGTTAAAATATCTAGATGGTAGGAACAAGTAGCCCAAATGTTCAACTAAGCACGACAATTTGCACTGGATTCTCAAAATAATGGGAATAAACCTTCAAATAGTTACTGATCTGGTAAATGAAACTAAAAAATAATGGATTGTACATTGATCCAATTTTAATTTATGTATGTTTTTGTTCCGGTGTTGACTTTAGTTTGAATGAATTTCACACTTAATCGTCGTCAAATCCTTCATTTTTGTAATTTATTTTACTACTTTAATGTTAAGTAGTTTCGAAGGTACGTTTGCTTCTAAAGACATCGTATACCGACTGTACGATAGGTGGATTTGAAACAATTAATACAGTTTTAAAGACATGATATTTTATCCTCGAATTAATAGTCATAAATCCGATTTTACAGCTAAGTGATAACTGTTCAGCTTTATAGAATAGATGGAATGTGGCTGGTAGTGAAATACGAGGCGCACGTTTTGTCTTATTTGGTAACTGTCTGTTAGATGTACATACATCCTAGAGTTAACGTTCACTTCGGGACTTAAACTCAGCACTATTTGCAACGAGCTCTAACGCGTTATGGTCTTAGTTACGGATTCCAGATGGGTATGGATTTCGATTTATTAATAGTAGTTCGCATTACCAATGACGGGATAATGCAAATTAGTGAAATTAAAAAGAATCTGAACCTATTAACTAAGTTACGTTAATTGTATTTAAAAAACCATCAACATTTTGTATTCTTATTAAATGGATCCATAAACCAAGACGATTTGTTACTTCTTCCTTATAGTCATTGTTTTAATATGATATCTTCATCTAAGTACTTCTACCAAAGTTTCTATCCCTTTTTTATTTATAGAACACTGGAATACAGTCTTTTGGAGTTCCTAATTCAGAAAGTGGTACTCTAACTAGATCGTCATCAATTTCATCGAGACGTTCGACAAACGATACTTTACATCTTGTATCTCGTTTATCCTCCTCTATTTTTGTGGGCAATGGTAATGATTCGAAAAAAAGCTCTACAGTAACATCAAATAATTTTGGTGATGATAATTTGAGTTGGGATACATCTGTTACTTTATTATTTGGTGATTTGTTAAAATCAAGTTAGTTATGTCAATTATTCTTCAAAAAGACTAGTCTTTTGTAGGATTTTCATTTGTTTATTTGTTTTAATAAATTAAAACTTATGTGGTAATTTCATTGAACAAGATGTCAGTCAGTAACAACGTAGAGCTTCGTACGTACGTACATCAGTTCGAGTTGCCACACCACATTAGCACAGAGATGCAATGGTCGATTCAAATCCCATAGTGGTAGAGGTAATAAGAGTATAAGCAGTAATCTGAAATATTAGAGCTTGAAGATGTTATTTTAAGAAGTATAATGCAATGAAATAAAGTTTGGAAAGAAAATAAGGGACATGAATAATTCAGAAGATTAGAATTTGGGAGAACACAAAGAGTGTATGCACCTGCGCCATTACAAACGATTTTGAGTCATGTCAACATCTGAACAAGATGTTGGTAAGAACAAATTATTATGGAAACTCTTAAATTGATATTAGTTATGTAATAAGTAGTTTTAAGGGTTCGAAACATTTTATGATTAATATGTATAGTGGTGTTAATAAAGACTAATCACCATTCAATAGTTTGGTGAATAACGCTTTTATGTGTAGTACGATAGCTGTTAAGGTTTTTGTCTCAGTGTGAATATTAGCATAGGAATCCGGTAATATCTATCGGATGAACTCTGGGAACGTGCATCCCGGATCTCATTGTTAGTTACAATCCATGTATACTTAAAATCTGAATGTATTATTTGAGCCGATTACATATTTTTCAAGTGTCTGAAATACATGGTTCACTGCATAGTTATGTTAAAATAACACTATCCTACCGTATCTACTTTTGCAAATCATTTCTTTATGTATGAACTGAAACAATTATAACCATTAAAAATTCCCACTAAGTATTTCTATTTCACACAGGCGAGACTATAATTTATGGACGAATCAATCATGTATAAGATAGTAGGTTTCGGATTTTGGCACGAAATTCACTCATCCATTTGGCTGAATAGATTCATGGAATTATAGCTGATGTCAGTTCATGATGAAAACCCTAAATCTGATTCCTAACCTTAACCATCAACTGTAAATCTTAATTCTCCATATTCGTTTATAACCCTCATTTGATTCTGGTTATTAGGTGGACACTCACGTGGTCACTTTAGCGTCACTCAAAGGTTGTCCATAAATTATAGTCTCGCCGACTAACATTCGTTGGAAAGTTTTTTGTTTCTTATAACCGGATCTTATATATAACTGTTGGTAGATTGGGAGGTTTACAGAGGTCAGTAATAAAAGATATGTACTTCTGATCCTCACACCAGTTGAGGAATGTTCAGCTGAATAATTAAGTCAGTGATATAGTTTTTGATAGTCTCAGATATAGTTCATTTATCTTTTTTGTCTTTTTCAATCTTTATAGACCGTCTTCGAAGTTTAGCATTCAAAGATGTTCCTCTTTCTGCTTTACAAATACATAAAAAACGGTCAGTATCTTGCTAATTTTTGGTTTGTATATTCGGTGACATTTCTTTATTTTTAAATCACAAGATTTGACGTATTGCTCCTCAAATGTTTAAGCTCCTTTTGAAATACTTCAGTCTCAGTGGGATAGACATTAAAAACACTAAAATTTTGCGTCTCTTGGTCACAAAACTCTATGGTATGGAAAATGACGCAAAACAATGTAGGATATTATACAATTCTATTTAAATCATGAACGGAGATCATTGTTTCGTTCCCGGTTTCGGAATTGTGAATGCGGACTGATGAGGAGGTTGTCTGACTAAGCAGACAAACAATCATTATCATTCTCACCCACACACCAGTATTTTAATGGTGCAGACCTCAGTGCAATAGTTTTGAGCTCAATTATGATTATTTTGAATAATTTTGAGATGGCAGCGATGTCCTTTGAAGCGGAAGGTAGAGTTCGAGTCCCGGAGTGAATATTAACTCTGGGATGCAGAAACATCCAGCTAACGAGTCACAAATATCATTCCACTGTTAGCTACCACCCATATCTGCTCAAAATGAAAGTAGGATTGTTTTAATCCTAGGCAAGTGAACTGAATCTACAATGTAAATAAATGTACATCATTACATCATGACTGTTATTTATGCTTGATTGAATTTGAACAGGTTGAAAGAATAACATGAAATTTTTCTAAAGACGAATAACACTACATAAAAATCCTTATTATTCAATAAAAATATACTTAGCGCCCTCAAATGCTCTGGTACGGCCGATGGTGGGGAGAGTCAGCTCTCCCTCTCAAAATGTTCTCATATGGCCATACATATACATCCACCAACATGGAAGTCCTACTCATTGCATTATCGTGGTGAATGTGTTGTTTACGAAATCGAGAGAATGAAAAGAGTATGTCCGACTCTTTGGTGGGTATGAAGGATACACATGATGGAAGTGGAAAACCCTGATTCCAAACTAATAGTGCACACGAACTCCAGTATCCTGAGGGAACAAATGGCGTATGAACGTATTGTTGGTCACTGGCTACCATGTGGCTGCGTCTTGTGACGTTTCTCCGATGCCTTGTGGATTAGACATTTAGGTCGATAGCTCCTGGTGTGACCTCTTAAGAAAACCGCCGGCTTCGATCTGGGCATCTGGGTAGTGTCACAGCCCACACAATTCAAGTGACTTGTGTGGCGCATATGTATTCGGTACCATTATTCATGTGTTCGAATAAATATTAAATTACACTGTATCATCATTCGCTCATTTTTAATTGTTTGTTCAGATTGGAGAATGAACGTGCAATCATTGATTTATCAAAATCCATTAAACAAGGTCGAATACCAAATATATTTTCACGTAATCAAATTAACACATTATTACAAGATGAGAATTATCGAAATCTATTAATTGCTCGTATAAATGATAATCTCTCAAAAGATGTCCTACCAAATCAATTGCATATTGATGATGTGGTAAGTATGATGATTTCGTAATTACGCTGTGGTGTTTGAAGCGTTCAGTACTGGGTTCGAGTCCCAGAGTGAACATTAACTCCGAGATGCAGGTGCATTCAGCTGACGAGTCCCGAATAGGACGAAACGCGCATCCTGGATTTCACTCTTAACCACTATCCATATAAAGATACAAGTGTGTAGAAAATCTAATTCCATTAGTGACAAATCAATTAGTACATTGAATAAGATATTTAGAGCCATTCGAAACGGCTAAATATTACAGTAGCACTTTTACTGGAGAAAAAAATTATTTACCTATTTCCACAACTCGATCAAATTGTGCCATGAAAATTGTCTTAAATCAACAAAGTATTTTACGAACCATTCTAATCGGCTTACTTTACAAACTAACACAATCCCTTCACTCTATTGTATTCAAATGGAAGGATAAAACAATGATATAATTTACTTAGTAAATTGTACGAGAAATCATATAGTAGGATATGGGACGCCTTTCTTCATAGGTGCACACGAGCATAGATTATTCTTTAAATGACACAATACATCGTCAACTATATCAATGAATACAGACAACTATGGATGTGACAGAAAAAGTCGTACGATAATGAATTTAGGAAATCTTAAAGCTGTAAAAGTCTCCAAAGGATACTAAATCAAAAGAGATGCTGATACAGATTGGGTATAAGAATCAACTAATCAAACTATCAGAAGCTAAACCCATAAAGTAGTTAACTGAATTGGAAAGGTGGATGTTGTCTAAAAACGAACTGAATTGACCGTTATAGGATAACTCCAAATTATCATTCCCATTTAAGCAAGGTGCCAATCATGTTGTATAAGATAATAATTAGAGCTTCCAGCTCATAGAATTCACTATCACTGAAAACTTCGGTTTTTCATAATAACTCGTGACCAATGTGTTCAACTTATCACTTTTTAAAGTCTTATTTATTTACCTCGTTTCTTTTAATTTCTATCTTCTATTAGCCTATTCAACAGTGGGATCAATATAAAGCAATTTTATGGACGCTTAAACAAATGATCAATGGTTTAGAATATAGTTTTCGACCGGATATTGTATTCCCAACTACAAATCAATATGATCGCATTACTAGAGATAAATCACCATCGTCAAATATTCCAAATCCATTGAGTAACACTAGTTGGTTATCCTATTCTACTGGTATTTTGAAAAGTGGTGGTTTGGCTTCAGCGTTTATGCTTATGGAAGTTGCACATACACATTTCTATCGGTTGCCTAATCGAACAGGGCACATAGATAATAATCATGATGAAAAATTCTTTTGGAATAGCATGCCAACTACACCCACAACGGAATTGAGATCACCTATACCTGCAAGAAGATTAGTTGGTAATGATATTTCTTCAGTTCGATATCAAGTAAGCCGACTGATCATTTTTCTTAGAATCGGGTGTATTAAATGTGGAAGTATTTTTTATTCATAGATATCTAGTAAGATTAGCGGTAATACTATAATACATGAACGACCTTTGAAGTAATCGTAAGTGACGTTGAGGAATTTCAGCCAGTTAGAAAACAGTTTGTATAGAGTGAAAATATATAAAAACCAAAAAAATGAGGGTGAATACACTTCGTTAACATGGTTTAAAAACTTCACAAGGTTAGAAAGAGACTCTGCAGTTGTGAAATCGTAATGCATGCGCTACAAGAATTTATTCATGGGACTACATAATAATCGAACTCTGGAGCCATAATAAGGTTGCAAAAATTGTTTTAGCCTCTTCCATATTGCTTCTATTTTATTGATGTGTACTCCCGTGATGGGTTCACAAAATGCCTCTTGTGAACGACAATATGATCTACGTAACCAAGTCTAAATAGTCATCGGTATGCTCTCCGGTCATTTGTGTATATTGTGGTACCCGGTTGCACATACTCTCGTATAATTGGTATTATAGTTGTAGCTTATCGGTTTTTCTTGCGCTGGAAGTGTTTTTTTAGATGATCTATCATATATATCAAGGACCTGCTAAGTATATTTAAGGAACTGCTACCTACCCAGTCTTCTTATCACTTATGTCTCGATTGAATTTGAGTTTTTTTAACGACTGTTTCGTCGATTTACACGACTCTCTTGATTCATGCAAAGGACTGGTGCAAGGTTGTCATTTTCATTGTACATATATCTCTACAGTGTTCATACCATTGAAGTGCCGAAGCTTCAGTAGCATTTGCAAAGGTTACAGCATTTATTATCCAGTTTACAACAGTTATCATAATCTGTCTTAGTGTCAATCGGGATCGTACAAAAAAATTTCCTGATCTAGGAGTCTTTTTCCTCCAACATACAGTACATCGAAATACAACATCACGATAGTCTGTACTAGGTCCAGCAGTTGTCGAAATCACAAATAAAGGTCTTTCTTTATAATCCATTTGTTTTACTAGCTCAATTATAACTTTAAAATCCGTTGTAAACCGATCGTACATGAGCATTGGGCACCGAAATAGGCTCCGTGACCTTCATATCTCCCAAACGTTTCCGATTGACTCGTTCATAAATTGTACTCTCGTTTTTTTTTTATATGGATTATTAGATTTCAGTGTTTCAAAATAGGCCGAATAAAGTTTGAAGTGATATTAAATCTAGTAGACTATTTAAATAAGCTATTCTGAAATTAAACAACTCTCCCATACACATTGTCTTCAGTCTTATAAGTAACAGTCAATTTTGTTTACATCTTTGTATACTATTTTCATCCGTATGTGTTGCATTACAATGACTTACTATCAAGATCGTAATTATCTTCTTCGAATATCCGGTTATTTATAAAATGTACCATTATTATTTAATTTTATTAAACTATGCTAATAGCTCATTATATGTGAAAATTAATTTTGATTTTGATTATTACCCTGAAGAAGTCCAGACAAGTTAGCTGGACGAAACGTTGAAATTAGTTAAATTTCAATCGCTGAGAATATTTCAAATATAATTTTCACATATAATGACTTCTCTATACTCGGCGCTCAATTACTGTCAAACTATTCGTTCTAATCTTGACGAATATTCGTATATATGCTAATAGCTGTTAAAAAATATTTTGTTTTTGATTGAGATCATGAACCGATTGATGTTAGACCACCACAATTGAAAACCTGGATGCACTGGACGGCCGTCTCGTCCTATTGTGGGACTCCTCAGCAGTGCGCATCCACGGTCTCGCTAGCGGGACTCGAACCCAGGGTCTTCTGTCTCGCGTGCGAACGCTTAACCAACTGGACCACTGAGCCGGCATCCAATGGTGATAGTTTCTAACATCAAACAATCCACGAAAACGCGCGACCAACTTCCGTTGTACTGAGGTAGATACCTGTTTCTACCTCAGTACAACGGAAGTTGGTCGCGCGTTTTCGTGGATTGGTTGATCGTGAGAAGCCGTGACCAGTGAAGCTAATCCCGATTACTGCTTATACTCTTGCTACCTCTACCACTACGGTATTTGAATCGACCACTGCATCTCTGTGCTAATGTGATGTGGCAACTCGAACTGATGTACGTACGTACGAAGTTCTACGTTGTTACTGACTGAATGACTGACTGAACTCATGATCTCAACTAATAAAATTACTGTAATATCCACAAAACGCATTCTAATAATAATAATAATAATAACAGTATTCTTTTTCTCAACCAATAAACAGGTGGTATTGTAAGTCACTTTGACAACGTATTATATTTAATGATTAATAATGAAACACATGATTTCTTATTGAACATTTCTATGACATTAACACATGACTTAATAAAAAATCACGTTGTTTTTTTGTCTTCTCGTTATATATCAAACACCAAATGGTGGGTAAATAGGAATTAAGAAATCTGGTTAGTTACTTGTGACACAGTTTAAGTTAATGACTATTGAATTATTATTATTATATCTGAAATTGAAGCCTTTGAAAGTGGCAATACTGTCAGGGATGTTAGATCTCCAACTCACGCCAAAAGCACCCATTTTCACCTTCATGTTGTATTTCCTACTTGGGAGTATCTTAAACGTTTTTGGTTCGTTGTTTCTTTTAATATGCTATTTTGTAACGCTTCTCAAGGACATTTTTATGTTGTATATAAACGGCTGATTTGTGCTTGTCGTAATTATTCATGCTTCTGGCTGCTTGAGAAATATATTTCCCTCTTCTTAACTTGGACTTCTCCGTCTAGTTAGCTGAGCTGGGACGCGTTGGAATAGGTAGCTTATCTGTCGTTGTGTCACAGAGTCTTTGCTCCATTCTCAGGTTAGATGAACTTGTAATCACTTCAAACATAGCAAATTTATATGTATGTTAAGATCATAACTCCTAGCTCTGTAGTATGGTTCGACCTTCTTTAGAGAGATAATCCTATAGTTTGTTTGTAAACTGTTCAAATTGGATTAAACACTTCATATATATCATTAAACAATCTATTTACGCGTTCTATTTGAGATATTTACACTGATAATTTGATTTATAGACCTTTGACATACGGAACCTACAGTTTCTATTAGTCTGATATCAGTTTGTGATTTTCATTATCGATAGGTACACAATTTTTAAATTGAGAGTGGCAACTTTGTGTAATTTATCAAATGGTAACTCAAGTAAATGTCTGTATATAAAACTTTCAGCCAGACTTCATAGTTGTTAATTATTGATTCTACTGAACTGTTGAAACTGAAATTGGAATTCCAACCTATTCCCTAATAGTGGGTAACAGAGCATGTTAATCTATAATTTAATGCCATCTCAACGGTACAGTGAAATAGCAACCATTGGAAATCATGGGGCATGAAACAGCTATTTCGTTCTGGTCTGAGGATCTTTAGTAGTTCTTATTCATGATCTTGCATTATATTAAACCAATGACTATCACAATCAGTAGTTTGTCAGCTGACGTCAGTTCGTGAACAATTTAGCCAACAGACTGCACAAAACTATTTAACTAATATTGGGAATCATTAGTGCATACATCACATCGTCACTTGCTACAAGCGATGTACTTTCTACAGTCATATTTGCAAGTTCACGAGACTATCAGTATTACTATTTCTTTTCCTATTAACTAGAGAAGAAATATTCTTCCACATTGGTGGTAGACAGGAATTGTTAATCGCTCACACACGCGATTCATCATCTCAGCTTACGGGATAGAGTTCTCTGATCTATTGACGTTATCGAAATTCTCATTCCTGATCTCGTACAACATTGAACTTAAAACTCTTAGGTCTCCTTACAGATATACTACTTTTTTCACTTTAACAAGATAAGAGATATATGCTTTCAACAAATGTGACAGACTGCCTGTTTTTGTTTAGTTTCAGTTTATAAACCCTGTTCATTTGAAAGGACGTTGTATGATATCATCGTTTAACTATATATCTAAGGGCAAGACTATAATTTATGGATAAACCAATCACGTATAAGATAACAGGTCTCAGATTTTGGCGCGAAACTCACTCATCCATTTGGTAAGTAAAGTTTTGGCATTATAGCTGATGTCGGAACGTGATGAAAAACCCTAAATCTAATTCCTAACCTTGATCATCAACTGCGAATTATAATTGTAATTCCTCACATTGGTTTATGACCCACTCATTTGGTCCTGGTTATTAAGTGGACACTCTCAAAATCAGTCTAACGTCACTCAAAGGTCGTCCATAGATTATAGTCTTACCGATTTAAGTCTTTTAATGGTATTTATAAAATTACTTCACTTATTATTGTGTCAGTAATAATATTATATTACTATCCAACATTTTGTTCATTCTCTCCCCTTTTCTGATATTTTATCATTAGAATAATCAATTAGATTTATCGGACTGTGAATCATACAGTAGAAAAGGTTCAAAACTAGGTAAGACTATTGTTGTTTGTGTTATATTTCCTCCTATTCTATTCGTTTGTTCATTGTAAAAAGACGAATGATATTAAAGTATATATATATATGTATGAAGATTAGATGGTGAATTTTCTTTCTATTTGTTAGTTGTTATCATAGCACTTTGCGACTGTTTACTCACGGATCAACAGAAATGTTCTCAATGCTAAGGATAAAAAAAGACATGATATTGGTTACTGTTGAATGTTCTGTTGGTGTAAACATGTTGATAGTACTGGAAGTCTATCTCAGTTCGAATAATTGATCAGATTATTGACTGTTACTACGGGTGATCTGGATTTGAATTGTGTTACTTTGATACACTTTTCCCTAAACATCCACATACACCTACTGACACAAAACATTGATCTAGGACCTCCTGCTAATTGCCTCAAAACATCATACTATATCATGATATCGAGTTATTGTTTTTAGTCGGTCGATCAAAGACTAAATAAGACATGACATTGATCATCACTTATCAATCAATTAACATAATCTTTATTACCTCGTATCTAAGTGACTGTCACATAGCTTTGTGTGATTTCACGCTTGAGTTACTATTTTGTTGATTTATTTACCTGCATAGATTCCAACTGTTATTTAGTAATGCTTTTTGTACTTGAAGCGAGAGTTGACATCATGTCATTGCATATTTAAACTGATTTTTGATTGATATTTATGATGAAATGTAATTGTATGAACAGTATTTTTATTTAGGCAATTACCCATCATTGTTCTATTGCCTTCCATTGAACTGAAATAAAAGTATTGACTTTAAAAAAATATATCGAATCAAATATTCTTTTGGTCCGTACAGTCTGTTTTCTTTCTAACGTTTGAATTCAGCATTCATCTCACTATCTCTGCAGTCACAATCTTGAGTGTATTTAAATTGTTCTTAGGCAAGAGGTTTTTAATCAGACGAAATAGACGTGTATATGATATTGGTTGGTAATAATTACATGTTTGAAAATTCACTTACTTACGCCTGTTACTCCTAATGGAGCATAAGCCGCCGAACAGAATTGTCGACCCCACTCTGCCTAGGCCTTTCGTTCTAGTTTTATCCAACTGTTGTTCATTCTTCACACATATCTATCTCCATTTTTCGACGTAATATGTTTTTTGGTCTTATTCTTCTTCTTTTTTGACCTTGAGGATTCCATGTGAGGGCTTGCCATGTGACGCATTTGAGTGCTTTCCTCAATGTGTGTCCTATCCACTTCCAGAGATTCTTCCTGATTTCTTCCTCCACTGGTAGGTGTAGACTACCTGGTTGGGGACCGCGAGATGATAGCAGCAGATGATTAGAAACCCTGAATGACATGGCTCAAAATCGTTTGCAATGGCGCAGATGCATACACTCTTTGTGTTCTCCCAAATTCTAATCTCCTGATTCCTCTTTGTCTCTTTTTTTTCTCTTCCCAAATTTATTTCACTGGATTATGCTCTTACTACCTCTACCACTACGGAGTTTGAATCGTCAACTGCATCTCTGTGTTAATGTGGTATGGCTACTGGAACTGATATACGTACGTACGATGTTCTACGTTGTTACTGACTGACTAACCTCTACTGGAATCTGGTTTGTTCTCCCCCACAGTAGGTTGTTGCTAATAGTGTCCGGCCAACGGATGCGAAGTATTTTGCGTAGATCGCTGTTAATAAACACTTGTATCTTGTGGATGATGGCTTTCGTAGTTCTCCAGATTTCCACCCCATACAGTGGAACTGTCTTGATATTCGTATTGAAAATTGTGATCTTGGTGTTGGTTGACAGTTTTTTTGAGTTCCAGATGTTCTTCAGTTGTAAATATACTGCCCTTGCTTTGCCGATGCGCGCCTTCACATCTGCATCAGATCCACGGTGTTCACCAATGATGCTGCCCAAATATGTAAAGGTTTTTACATCTTCCAAATCTTCTCCGTCAAGTATGATTCGATTGTTGAAAATTCACTAACCCTCTTTTCTTATCATTGCCGATAGTGTATATATCTCTAAATTAATAATCAGTAATCGATTCACACTATCATCTTTGACTAATTTATCAAATACAAATTTATGTACTAAAACTTTGAGTCCCATATTTTATGTATGACCAGCCATTGACACTACTTGGCAATACAAAGTAAAGTAATTGAATTCAGATTTGAATATGTAACTTGGTCTCGAAGTCAAACCTTCATGCAATATCTTAATAATTTGTCAACATTGTGTATTCACGTTTTTTTATTTCTTCTTCACATTAATTAAGATTAATTAAATTGACGTATAATTTACCTTATGTATTATCAGCTGATCTTAAAATACTGATCTGATCGTCATTCATTGTATATATACATAAATTTATTTGTTCTATTCATTGGTATCATATGAATAAAGGACACATATGATTGACTGATTATATTTGTCCGACAAAATCTTATATTCTTTTGTCGCTTCATTTCGACCATGTAATAGTCACTTGTTTCTAATTCACAAGATTATGAACTTATGGTAGATTGATTTGTTAAGGTCACATGCAAGATAGATATATATTTGTTTGTATGTATATATGTATATACGTTCAGGTTACGTTTCTAAATAATGAAAGTAGCAATGTTTATTCATCATCTCAACTTTATTATATACTCATCTGGTTGTAACGTTTTCAATGGATTGTAGATTATTTATTTATTTATTTATTAAAACACATGAACATTGATACAAGAAAGCACCAAACAGATATGCGCCACATAAGTCATTCGATTTATGTGAGGGTTGCGATACTACACGGGTGCCTAGACCGGAACAAGTGGTTTTCTTAGGGGGCCACACCCCGAGCCTTTGACCTAAAGGCCTGATCCACTAGGCATTGAAGTAACGTCACAAGATGCAGTCCCATGGTAACCGGTGATCAACAGTAGGTTCATAAGCCTTTTTTCTTACGCTCCTGGAGTCCATGTACACCATTTGTTTGGAATGAGGGTTTCCAACTCCCCTATGTGAATCGTCCATATCCACCAACCCGGTTAAGGCACCATTCATTTGCTTTTCGTCCTCTCAATTTCGTAAATAACACTAGTGTTGCGACAAGACAGTGAGTAGGACTTCCCTGGGAGTGGTTTTATGCACGTTGCCATGTGAGAACATTTGGAGAGGGAGAGCGGAGTCTCCCCACTCTCGAGCGTACTAGAGAATTTGGGGGCTAATGTACATAATAGTCATTTTATTATTATTAGCTTTATTCAATATTATATTTTTGGTACAATATAGAGTTCTTAGCTCAAATGATTTCAAAAAGTTTCCGTTTCTTATTTCTTGATCAATCGTGACTATAAATATTGAGTGATCATCAGTTAGATGTTAACAGTTTAGGAATCGACATTTGAGTAATTTACATTCTTTTCCAAGCATATTACGAGCAACCATGATATCTTTGACTGAGCTCTTTTGTAACTGGTACAGCGAAAGGTTGTAAAAGTTTTCACAAACGCACTTGAATAGGTTATGCAATTAATTGGCATAATGATTTGTTAAAACAAACAAAAAAACAGATATTTCTCGTTAGTGTTTTTTAGCGAGTTAGTTTTCTTCGGGATAGGGTACTATTTAAAAGCAGTATCCCTCATTTCTTCAATCGACTCGTTATACTTGATGACCATGAGTGAAATGACTAGCCCAACACATGAATGAACTCCCACCAGTCTTGTCGAACTGCTAAAATGTCTTATGCTAGGACAAAAGCGGCTATCCACTCCCCTTCTTGTTTTGTAGTTAATATAATATAAACTTCAAATTGAATGTTTTACACAAATCTATGATGCTAATACTAAGATTGTTTCTTAGAATTTTAATTTAGAATCGACTGCTTAATTTCCATTTGCGTTGACCATCACTATTCTTTGTAATTCACCTCTTGAATAAGTCAGCTAGATCTTATTACGAGCTGTTTCTTTATTATGCTATCAACTGATACTAATCCATTCCATACACATTGAATAGTTAGTTAATAAGTCCAGAACGTAGAACAAGTAACTCTTCATTGTTACTTTGATTAAAAAAATTCTTTCTATTCGATTGCAGTTAGTGATGAACACATATCTCTTCATTATACAGAATCCCTATTGTACTAACTAAGTAAATTGGCATTGAAACTGAAGATTTAGCGAAGTTAAGTAATAAATGTATCTAAATTACTACAATGATCGATTTTGAACCATGGCACTCTACATCGATAACTACTGATCACAGTTATGACATGGATCATAACTGAGAAATCTCCATCTTATATCACTCATTTTGAAAATCAATACCGTTGTATAGTTTGTCCATCCCTAGACTTCCAACGTATAATCCTAAGCCAGTCAAAATTATTTATCGAGGTAAAAAGTGGTTAAGTGTTAGTAAGACAACTGATAGCCAGTTATATCAATGAGAATTTCTAAATAAGTGAAACCTGCCTATTGAGACTTAGAAGCAGGAAAGGTTAGTTTGTAAGTAAGCAATTTTTCACTGGATTAGTAATTATTTTTTCAATGAAGATTCATAACATCTTCAAAAGATTTTATGATGTTTACTTAGTACCCTATACCTCACTTCATTATCAATCAGTTGGTAGTCTTTTTCTTATCGATATTACCGAAATGCAAAGAACTCAGTCTATAATAGAATAACTTTTATTCATGTTACTACTTTCATAATGCAAGAATATAATCGAAAAGGATATAGTGTATTCCATTTGATTCATGGATATACACAGTTTGAGGAAGTATATATATATATATATATATATATATATATATATCTGTGTTCTGTCCCGAAATGCTTTGGTACGGCCGAGAGTATGGAGAGTCCGCTCTCTCTCTCGAATCGATTTCATATGACCAGGCCTATACAACCACCAACAAGGAAGTCCTACTCACTGCATTCTCGTGGCGGGAGTGTTGTTCACGAAATTGAGAGAACGAAAAGCGAATGTACGGCGCTTTAACCGGGTTGGTGGACATGGAGGGGAGTTGGAAAACCCTGATTCCAAACCAATGGTGCACATAGGCTCCAGTATCATAAAGGAACATATGGCGTGGGAACCAATCGGTGGTCACCGGCTACCATGGGACTGCATCTCCTCACGATGCTCCACTGCCTTGTGGGTTAGACCTTTAGGTCAAAGGCTCGGGGTGTGACCCCCTAAGGTAACTACATGCTTCGGTTTGAGCACCCGTGTAGTATCACAGCCCTCACACATATCAAAAGAGATTTGTGTGGCGCATATGTATTCGGTGCCTCCTTGTACCAATATCTATGTGTTAAAATAAATAAATATATCTGTGTTCCAAGCTAAATCGAAACAACCGTTTCGTATTTCTTTCTGTGAACCATTTTTTTTCTCCAATTTTCATTTTTCCACTGTTTACTGATGTTAATTTATTACATTATTTCTTCCATTTATATTGGATTACAGTTTCAAATTCTAATTCAATACCTTCTTATGGATATTCTATAGATTCATCTGTATCACAGCCATCATATTGCATAACTTCACCCACAAAACATCATCATCAAAGTTATCAGAAAATGTCATCTTTTAATCATTCACAATCACCGGATATCAGTAATAACACTACCACTACCACTACCGCTACTACTACTACTAATACTACTGATTTAACCAATAGTCAATTATCGAAATCATTACATTTATTAGAAAATACATTTGAGCTAACTAATGTTTCGAATAAATTAATTTTTTTCAAAACAAAACTTGATTATTCTAATCAACAATTCAATGATCTATATAATAGTGTATCATCAAAATTATTAAAAAATTTAAAAAAACCACCTTTTCAAAATGCAACAAATACAATGGGAAATCATATCATCAACGATCATCTTGAGGATAATGTTGATCATAATTCTAATGATCTATTATTACAACATCAAACTGTTGTGGCAGATTCATCTTCACCTCAAACTGTGCCTTATATTAATTCACCATTTACTATTAGGGGTATACATATAATGCATCATAGTAATACACTTGATCATAGTGAGCATTTTTAAGAAAAAAAATTAATGTGTTCATGTGTAGTTTGTTTAGTAGTAGTCTAGTCCCATATACCATGTATGAATATGTTGTGTAGAATGGGGTCTTTGCTAACTTATTTATATGTTTGCATTGTTGTTGTTGCTGTTGCTGTTGTTCATTCACCAATATTCTTACTTGTCGATTTCATCACATTGTAATGTAGAGAGATTATATTGCACCGATTGTTTGATCTGTAAACTCATCAATGTTGTAATTTTTAACTAACCATGTTTAGTAGACTATAATTTTCCCATTTCTTAGTACCTGATCGCTCCTATTTCTTTTTTGTTTGTTTTTCTTGTGAAAAAAATATTCACATCAGAGCTATTTCGTGGTCATGGTCGTCATCAATTCACCAATGTTATTGTTACAATGAGTGAACCATCATCGGATAGAGAAGATAATGAACAAATTCAATCAAAACCTATATTTAAATCAGATAGTACTGATATTATTAAACACAATATTCAACCATTGAATAATGCAAACAACACTATCAATGTTGGTCATACTGGAAGTTGCATTACAGTGAATCGACATAATGAATGTGAAAAATTCGATAAATTGTTTGCTTCTGATGCTAAACTACATGAATCAATGAGTAAATTAAAACCACATCGTAATAATGAGAATGGCGTCAACGATGATGATATACCGCCAGATTATGTACCGGAATTGCCTAATCGTAAAAGTCAACGAAGTTTTGGCTACAGGTAGGTGTTTAATTAAAATGTAGTACTTGCCGCAAATATGAATGTTTTTGACCAATTTGTCTCATATTTTCTGTGTTATGAAATGATTGAGGAAAGAAAGGTGGACGTGACTAGTATTACAAATAATTCACATCTGAATAGTAAAGTTAGGTAGTAGCTAACAGAGGAATCTATGAGGCGTGCTTCGTCTTAGTCGGGATAATAGATAACGCATTGAGCCTTTGAAACCGAAGGTAATGGATTTGAAATCCAGGTACATCCAGCTAGAGAGTCTCAAACAGAATGAAACGCGCATTTTTGATTCAACTGCTTACTAATATCCAACTTAATCAAAACTTTTGAATATGTGGCACTGTCGAAGCAATTCATATAGCATTCGATATCTGATGACATATCTGATATGCCAAAGGAGGAAGATCGATTGTAGTCCTTTATACCAACAACAGAATGACATGAACGGTTACAAATACTGATCTGAATAGTTTAAACTACATTAGTTTCCTTTAAAAAAATTTATGATAAACATTACTGACATGTAATAAATAATGAATATGAAATTTGAGTTGAATGGAAAATTCTATAAAGATGCTTTCATTGTAGTATAACACGATGATAAGTTTCTTAGCTTGATGGTGATGTGAGTATGATCTATGGAATGCAGTCAGTACTGAAAATTAAACAGATGAGTTTTTTGTAGGAACATTATTTCTACTGTAAACTAAAGTCAGCTACCTAATCTTTAGAAATAAGGAAAACTTTGGGAAGTATAGGTGAGATTAGCTTTACGACATTTGTTGAAGTTCTAAATTGTGAACTGTGAACATTACGAGGTTGATTAAGTTTGATGGAAAATCAGTATTGTACAATCATAAAAATCGATTAGAGATCTGCACCATTGTATTCGAGATCATGCTTATAAAAGTTTTATAATCTATTTTATTCAGTCCATGGGTTCCTACTCAACTCTGGTTTTAATTTTCTTAAATAGATATTACCAATCACACTTAATTTTAACGGATCCATCAATCACATCTAGTTCATCTGATGATACAGACGATCAGACCACATGTACAATATTTACTTCTTTACCGAATACATGCACACCACCAGCAGTTTATCGTCCTGACTTAAAATTTCATTTTAATGATACTGAATCAGAAAATGAAGATATAGATAATAAACATCAACAACAAATAGAGATAGAACAACGAAGAAAACAATCAGAATGTCATATGTGTAAACTAACTTTGCTGATACCAACTCCACCTCCACCAAATTCATCATCAGTCATGACAGTATCTCCATCTAAGATGAAGAAAGTACCATGGACTTACTTATTTGAAGATATTTTCGATACTGAATGGCATAAAAGTAAAATATTGGGTAATCTACAATTTTGGGAAGATTCCTTTTTAGATACAGTTGCACAGGAACGAGATATACTTGGTTAGTTCTTTCTTATAAATCATAAAATGTGAAGAAAAAAGATTTTTTTTCATAGATTGGATGTACATCGATGATCGATAGACAGCTAACGAGTTGATTACTGCTTATTAATTACCACCATTTAAGTTATATAGTAAGCCAGTCAGAAGTAGCCTAATACGAGGTCTATTCGATGGCAATCAGAAGTGACCTGAAGGACAAGTAGATTTCATTGGCTAGGAAATGGATTGATTTCCTAAGGGGTAGAATTATTTATGTATATAAATGAGTACTTGTGTATTTTATTCAGTAGCCCATTATACTTACTCGCTCAAATAGTCAGTTGTTTGGTTAGCACCTAGTATATCGTATATCTGTATCAGTTTTCGGACACCACCCATCACAACACTAAGCATACATTTTCAATGATAAACAGAAAGTTAAACCTTTGTACTACATATCGTACCAGAACATTATTACTTAATTACTTACTTACTCCTGTTACTCCTCGTGAAGGAACATAGGCCGCTCACCAGCATTCTCCATCCAACCCTGTCCTGGGCAATCCTTTCCAGCTCCTTTCAGTTCCTATTGATCCTTTTTTATAGCTGCTTCTATTTCCCGACGTAATGTGTTCTTTGGCCTTCCTCTTTTCCGTTTCACTTCAAGATTCCAAGTTAGGACATGCTTCGTGATGCAGTTTGACGATTTGCGTAGTGTATGTCCTATCCATTACAAATCAATATAATATCAAAATTAGTTGTTCAAATACAATTAACAGTCACTTGTTAAATAAGTAATTTACTCATAGAATATCTGGTTAATTAATTTATGATCGATGTCAAGGTTTACTTCTCAGCATTTGATCAATGTTTCTAAAGCCAAAAAAGGACTAAATAGCTGATTGAAACTAAGACTTTTTGAGTTTTATAACGAATGTACTAATTTGTAATTTGATGATTTACAGCTTCATTATGATTTCATTATATTGAATAGCCTAACCATCTCTTAAGAATGTACATTGAGAGATGTAAATTACCAAACAACTATGATTAACAATTGTGAAAGTCATTTATACATAGAGTCCGACTATTGAAAGAGCCGTAAAAACCAATAATACCTCTCTATTCATAACTCAGAAAGTTTATTTACTGTCGTATAAGGGTCTTCATCGTGCAAATCCAATTATCTATGGAAATCATATTTACAGTTCAATAAAATAAACAATAAAAGAGAGTAGATATTCTTGACCATCTCCCTGAAATCATGTTTCACTGCGTTAACTCTGAAAACTAGTAACTACAAAATGTTTTGACATGTAGTTTTATCATCACTTGACTTCAGTTATACAGGCAGTTGATATAAAATTAGTCATCACTGGATGGCTTAATTAATTCCAGTATAACAATATTCATCAGTGAGTAATGCCAATCGTGCTAGTTGTAATCAAATCTTAGAGTATCATTCACGTACATGCAGCCTTCAAATACCCTGGTACGGTCGACGGTTGGGAAAATTCGCTCTCCCTCTCTAGTTGATTTCTCGTGACCACGCCTATACAACCACCGACAAGGAAGTCCTACTCACTGCATTCTCGTGGCGGTGATGTTGTTTACGAAATCGAGGTGATGCAAACTGAATGTCCGGAGCTTAAATGGGTTGGTTAATGTGGAGTATCCATCTAGGTGAGTTAGGAAATCTCGATTCAAAACCATTGTTGCACATGGACTCCAGGATCCTGAAGGAAACAAATGGCGTATGAACGTATTGTTGGGCACTGGCTGCCATAGGACTACATCTTGTGACGTTACTCCACTGCCTTGTGGATTAGACCCTTAGATCAATGGCTCGAGGTGTGGTCCCCTAATAAAGGCGCCTGCTTCTGTTTGGGCACCCGGTAGTATCACTGCCTTCACACAAATCAATAATAACTAATATTGGCCTTATTGTTACTGTCTGATGCATATGTATTCAGTGCCCAATTGTACCAATGTTTATGAGTTCGAATAAATAAAACGTACATGCAAACCACACGTCATCTCTAGATCATCATCACTAAGTCAGAAAATACATTCAGTATCCACACCACATTCACTGTAACTTCTTACTCATCATATTATGAACTTACACCACACTTAATCACTGATAATGATTATACCTTTCATTTCTTCAATTCCCATTCAGGTATGGATTTTCGACCAAAAGAACTTTTATTAAAATATCAAAATGCTTCTTTATTAAAACGTAAACAAATGGAATTAGAAGAAGATTGTTTATTAGTTAATATAATGCATAATATGATTGCGTTTATGCTAATGGCTAATGTGGATCGTATATCTATACGTAAAAAATTACAACGTCTACTAGCTAAAAGTCATACAGGTTTACATTATTCACGAAAAATTAATGATTTATTAAATTCATTGAATTATTTGGTAAGTTTGCTTTCTTTGTTGTTGTTGTTGTTGCTGCTGAAGTGTCTCGTGTTCTGTTTTGACATATATATACCAAGTACTTTTGTTCAATGGATTAATTGTGGAAGTCATCATTATCACTTTGGATGTAGTTGTCAACAGTTATGACATGTTGAAGTAAACTGTTTAGTTATTCTGTAGACACTAAATCAGTCTGTTGTGATACCACTTTTTTGTGTGGGAATAGGTTGTCTTCAATGATAAAGTCAACTTGATTTGTCTTTGTGTTTTTGTTGATTATTTTATTCGGCAGACCTCTGATCACAATGGTTTAACCTTTTCAACATAAATTTATATATGGTCATCGATTAGAGATTAATCTGGTTCTGTCCAATAACTGTGCTTGCTGACCTGTTTTTGTAGACACATAAGAAAATCTATCAGGATATTCATGAGGGTCATTTATGGAGATATCACACTGAAGGGGACATCTTTGTGTACAGGCTGATCATGCGTTTCAATAAGGGTTGCGTAGATTGAAACAATAATCCGAGGTCAGAGCAATTGTCAGTCTCCCATGCTGGTTGATAAATCAAACTTGTGTACGATCTCTTCTGATTCCTGACCACTGATTCACTGTCTGGCTAATTGTTGATGAGCAGAATCGCCTGAGCACACTCCTCTAAAGAAAGAATGAAACGTTGAGGTTGTTCAAGAGTTTAACTCCTAAGGAATTCTACAAATGTTTTGAAAAATAGAAGTATAGATTAGACATGTGTATTGTCACAAACAAGGGGGACATATAGCACTTTGAAGACAACAGAACTGACCTAAATAGAATTATTTTTTGAAAATTAATTTACAAAATTTGTTGAACTAAACACATCAACTGAAGTATCACTAATGACCATGATGTTAAGCTACTCAAATCATTTACCATGCACTAATATGGCGTGTACTTGGCTTTCTGTCACATTCTAAGTGTGCGGGCATGTGAGTGATATGTGGTTGTCATCTGGCGCCAATAATTTTATCAATTCACATGTTTATATTTCCCATACTAATTGCTCATATCGTACTGATGACTGATGTCATCAGACAATGAGATAACAAATTTTCATACAGAATATTTTGGGATTATCACATCTAATAGAAACATATCAGTACACAAACCATGAGAGTAAATAAATAGATGAAAAATGAATGTTGACACGTAGCCAAATATAAAGTATAACTTGTTAAGTGAGTGAGTGTATTTAGTTCAAAAAGGTTAATAGGATAAATGATTAGACAGATACACAAGTACACATAATAGTAAAGTACATATGCAAAAATGAATCATTACGCTTATGATAATATTAACAATGGCATGTTTATCATTCAAATAAAAGCTAAGCCTCGAATAAATTTAAACAAGCGTCAGGATGGGATTCTTATAAATACCACCAAGTTATCTGAAACGGAAGAGATTGGGTGACTTATGAACCAGTTACTTAGGAACCAAAAGTTGTTCACCTTAACCGGTGGACTACCGCACCAAACCTTTTTACACTAATCAACAGTGACCTGTTATAGTCTATCATTTCTTGGAATCATGAGTCGATTTGAGCTAGAAAATCATTATAAACATCGAAGCATTAGATGTCTGTTTCGTTCCAATATGGGACTCCTCAACACTGGACACCCACTACCGCGCCAGCAGGAATCGTACCCAGGACCTTCGATCTCGCGCGCGAACACTTATCCTCTAAACCACCAAACTCGGATCTAATGGTGTATGGATGTAACTTCAATCAATCCATCTCGCATTGTCGACTGTATTATGAAGATCTCGACATCGGGGGGGGGGTGAGCACGGAATACAATGGACAGCTTGCTTGTAATTAAACGGTTTAGACTTCGTAGATGTACCGACTCTTCTATCCAATGCACATGAGCAAATGCAGGTCAAGACAACTAGTGTAGCAGAAGCCTCCGCATCAGTTGGCCTCAAGATACACAAGGGAAAAAGACATATCTTGAAATACAACACAGAGAACAACAATCCGGTTATACTTGATGGAGAAACTAAAAGTTGTGCAATCTTTCACGCACCTGGGAAGCATCATTGATTAATGTGGATGATGCGATGCAGACGTAAAGCCGACGATTAGCAAAGCAAGGGCCACATTCCTACAGGAATATTTTTAACTCAAAACAACTGTCAACCAATATCAAAGTAAGAATCTTCAAAACGAACATCAAAACAGTTCTACAGTACAGAGATGAAATTTTGAAAACTACCACGACCATCATCAAAATGGTACAAGTACTTATAAATAATTGTCTACGTAAGATACTGAATGTCCGTCGGACGGATACTATCAGCAACAGAGTTCTGTGGGAGAGAACAAACCAGCTGAAGAGGAAATTAGGAAAAGACATTGGAAGTGGATAGGACATACATTGAGGAAATCACCAAACTGTATCACAAGGCAAGCCTTAACTTAGTTAGTCACTATTGATTACATGATACTCGTTAGTATGAGGTTGTGGAGTTTATTAAATTTCATTGAAACGATCGTTGTATTAACATAATTCATGAAACCAGTTGTCCGATTCAACATAACTTATTAATTTACTGTGAAATAAGAACTTTTTACACATTTTTATTAAATCCAATAACTATTTTCTACAAATATAAAAACCCCACTCATCTATCAATTACTGAATCTTAGTTTGAAACACTACACAACATAATTTGACAATTGATAGTCATGCTAGTAGCCTTTCATTATGATAGAATTTAACAAGTGTACTAATTGCTGAGTTCATTCACGTATCCCTATATGAAAAAATGTCATCTAATTGATATTTATTACCGAGTTCATCACCCCATAAAAAGTTTCAGTTTTCCATGGGATAAATTAGCTATCGATCTATCCTATTATCACCCTCTATGTGTTTGTTTCTCTTCGTGTACTATTCAGAATTTGACCTTGACCATGGTTTTTTCCTGCTAAATAGAGTATATCTACTTAAATATCTACTCACGTGTTGACACAGTATTACTTGTCTTTAAATTACATCCAGTGTTTTTTGAAGGCAATGAAGCTTCTCTGTGAATACGTTTTCTAGGGTAAATGGAAATACAAAACCTTGTTATCACGATCTTATCTAGTTTAATATAGTTAATATAAATTACTATCACATTTAGGAAGATGTTTACTCCTAGTTCCTTCGTATTTGATTGTACTGTTATGATTATGTGGTGGCAGTAGTACACTTATTCTAAGAAGAACTTCTATACTGTAAGCAGCAGCTCTATTTTCTTCTAGCCTTAACTACTACAAAAGACAAATCTTCCTAAGAAGACTCATTGGAAGTAACCAAAAATGATTAAATGTTTATTGGCTTTAATTCAATATGTCAATTAATTAATCAGTGCTTGAAGTCACTAACATGTAGTCTTAGATATGTTAGTAGATATAAACTACTCTGTTCGGGTCCGCACGACTATTGTAACCAACGGTTGGAGACTATGGGTGACATGGCTCATAACCGATCACAATGGCGGAGGTGTATACACTCTCTATCTTTCCTTCATATCTTTCTTTCTACCAATTAATTCTTTCTTCCTGTACTATAACCTTATATAAAATCTTTTATATATTACAACAGTGAGTTATCTACTTCTATGAATCTGGTGTTCGTCTTATTGTGCTAATGAAGTATGGCAACTTGGACCGATGCATATATGTACCTGGTCTTACGTTGTAGCTGACTGACTGACTTCAACTAAACATTCATCACTTGAATACAGCATGACAATGAAGTAATTAGTATCAGAAGGGGTTTTTGTGGATATTTTGGTCATTTCAATGGTTGAGATCATGAGTCATTTGAATCCAGACCACCATGGAAAAACTGGAAGCATTAGACGGTTGTTTCGTCCTAATGTGGGACTCCTCATTTAATTAACTTAATGAGGTGTCTTGAAATTCAATGAATGATTTCATATAAATAGAATCAATACAATTGAACATATAATAATAGTTGATGAACACAGTGTTCAGTTTCAGTTAGCATACGAATTATTAACATCAACACATGAAGAAAACATCTATAAAAGATAATATATTTAATTTAATAGTTGAATTCATGAGTCAATTGAAGCTAGACCACCTGGAAGCACTGAACGGTCGTTTCATCCTACTATGGGACTCAGCAATGCACATTCACGATCACATCTCACGAGATTCGAACCCAGAACCTATCAGTCCAGTTTTTTCCATGATGGTCTAGCTTCAATTGACTGATGAATTCAACTATTAAATTGCTATAATATCTACAAAAACCTTTCTCTGATTATAATATAATTACTATACATTATTACGCAATATGAGCAACCTAATTGATTTCAGTAAAAGAAAAAAAGGCTTCAAACATTTTTGATGAAATTAGAAAATCAATGAGTTTTATGATAAAGTGTACTTTTAGAGATGAATCAAGTATGTGACATTTAGGTTTTTTGCTCAAAATGCAAATGTCATATTATGACAAGCAGTAAAATTACTTTTGTAATACTGATCAAAGCGTTAAACATTGAAGCCGAATATTATTTTTATTATCATTAATTAAACATATGAAATTCTTTAATTGGTTGTATATTTTAGGCAAATCAACTTTTAACTTCACTTGGTATTGTTTGTCTGAATCTTCTCTCATTGATGTTTAGGACTACAATTGATCAGTCTCTTATTGACATATGTGCATCCTGTGCGGATTACCTTAAGTCATAAGCTTTGTAAGCAATGATGGATAGTAGTGGTTAGCAATGGAATCCAGTTTGAGACGCGTTTCGTCCTATTTGGGACTTGTCAGTTGGATGTACGTTGAGTTGATGTTCACTCTGGGAGTCGAACCCAGTACCGTTCGCTTCAAACGTTATGGCGTTATCCACTTAGCTACTGAGTCCTGATAGCCACTTGCTTCATTCACTAATTATATAAAATTGTCTCTTCTTTCATAATATTATTGTCTTGTTCATAAAACTATTCATGTACAATAACTGTTATCTGATTAGCTAACGATGAGTTCAGATTTCTCATTATCCTTCCAAGTTTATGTGTTTATCTTACTTTAACTAAATTTTGTGATAGATACTTGTGGTTATGTTGAATCGCATATGGTATGAACGTAATTTTTAAAACTTACTTTTATTGTTTTATACTGGAGTGTAAATGTAATATTTCATATGTTATTCTTTCCACAGAATGGGAATGATATCGATTTAAATGTGGCTCAAAGTCGTTTTATTGTACAACGTTCACATGAAGCCTACCGTGGTTCAGATGAGAGCGGTGAACTAATATTTCTTGAAGTAATATTTTTTTGAAATGTTGAATTATATATTTTTAGCGTATTCCTAATATTTAGGGTAGTGGCTAATAGTAAGTAATGTAAAGTACGTCACTAGGCTGGAGGAATGTATATTTAATACGAGAGGTTACAAATATCTGTATATATATGTCTGGTCTCCACGTGTTATGCTAACTTCGTGCTTTTGATGTACTAAAACATTCCGCTCTTTCTAACAATTCTTGGACCTTCGACGCCACGTTTCGCTACACACTACTTACAAACAATCTTCTGAGTAGTGTCCACTACATTTGTATAAAGATCTAGATAGGACATTTGTATGCATGTAGATGTTGGTTAGATATATCCAGTAATGCTGGTTCCCTCCGAGTAAAACTAACATTTATGTACCAAAAGAAAAACAGTTTAAATTTGTCTAATATGAACCTACACCATTTACGAAATTGTCGGTTGACTTATTTTCATCAAGTGTTCAATCATTCTAGTTCAGTCAGTCAGTCAGTAACAACGTAGAACTTCGTACGTACGTATATCAGTTCGAGTTGACACACCACATTAACACAGAGATGCAGTTGTCGATTCAAATCCCGTAGTGGTAGAGGTAATAAGAGTAAGCAGTAATCGGGAAAATTAGGGTTTGGAGATGTTATTTAAAGAGTATAATCCAGTGAAATAAATTTGGAAAGAGGAAAAAAGGGACATGAAGGATTCAGAAGATTAGAATTTGGGAGTTCGTGTGCACTATTAGTTTGGAATCAGGATATACGAGCAATGTTTCGAAGACACCTACGATCGAATACTAATAACCTACGAATTTCCTCTACTCTTACCGGCCATGTTTCACTGACATAAAGAAGGACGGAACGAACTGCTGCGCAGTAAACCCGTCCTTTGGTTGATAGACGGATATCTCGCCTACGCCATAAATGACACAAGTTGGCAAAAGCTAGTCGAGCCTTCTGTATCCGTGCTGAGATTTCGTCACAAACCAGACCACAAGGGCTGATGAGACTTCCAAGATAAGTGAAGCGGTCGACACACTCAACTACTTCACTCCCTATCACTAGTTCGGGTGTCGATGTAACCCAATGCTGAAGCAACATTTTGCATTTCGAGGGAGAGAATCGCATCCCGAACATGCTTGCATTGTTGCTTGGAGTGGTCAGAAGACTCTGCATTTTGTCAGCGTCTTCACCAAATAAAACTATGTCATCTGCATATTCCAAGTCAACAAGTGAATTTCCCGGTAGAAGTTCAACCCCTGGAAATTTAGCTGAGGAGAGTGTTATTTCTACAAGTACGTCGACCACAAAGTTGAACAAGAATGGGGAGAGTGGACAGCCCTGACGAACACCACTTGAGGTAATCAATTCTGATGACAGTTCGCCATAAGCTCTCACTCTACCAGTTGTGTTCGAGTAGAGAGCCTTTAAAAGGTTAATGTACTTCTTTGGTACTCCTTTCAGTGACAAACACTGCCATAGAACCTCACGATCAACAGAGTCGAATGCTGCCTTAAGATCGAGAAATACTACCATTGTGAGGCGTCTGAATGTGTGTCTGTGTTCTAGAACCTGACGTAGTGTGAATATCTGATCTATACAACCACGTCCAGGTCGAAAACCGGCCTGGTTTTCTCTAATCTGCTCTTCACGAGCTTTGGTTAGGCGTCGAAGTATTATTGAAGCTAATATTTTAGACACTATATTAGTCAAACTGATTCCTCTGTGATTGTCACAGGAGGACTTTTGTCCTTTCTTATAGACTGGCACAATCAGTGATTGAGACCAGTCAGATGGGATTACGTCCAGTTCCCAAATTCTACCCAAGACCTCGGTTAATCTCATTGCTAATACTGGACCACCATCCTTAGAAATCTCAGGAGTAAACCTGTCAGGGCCTGCTGCTCTCCCTCGTTTCAGATTTCCTATTGCTTTTTCAACTTCGTAAAGGGACGGAGGACCTACATTAACTTGCCATTCAGGTTGACTAGAGATCGTGGGAAACCGAAGTGTGGCTGAAGGCCAGTTGAACTGATCCCTAAAGTGTTCTGCCCATCGATCCAATCTCCTGGATTGAGAATGAATAATATGTCCATCTTTCTCTGAGATTGTTTCGCTAACGGTCGGGTTCCTAATTCCGGTTTCCTTAACAAGTCTGAACAATTGTCTGCTATTACCTATTGCCGCTGCCTTTTCCATCTCTCTTGCTTTCGCTACCCACCGCTGTTCGCGATCATTGCGTAGACTTTTTGTCAGCTTGCGCTTAAGCTGAGCCAGAGGGAATGAGTTCCCGAGCATCTATCAGTGAGATAGATGCTGCTGAGATCCAGTGTTGCTCCCTAACCTTCTGGTTTACCTTACTAGCAGATATCACTGCTGTTTCCACAGCTTTTCGGATATCATTCCATGCTGCCTCAGGGTGGGCATCACATACATGGCTGCCTAACTGTTTTCCTAGTTGTTCCTGAAATATACTCTTAGCTTGACTATCATTAAGTAGGGCCCTAAGAGGTTTCCTTGCAGCGTCTTTCCTACGTCCAGTAAGACGCAAGCAAATACGCGCTCGCACTAGAGCATGATCTGAATCTAGGCATGTGCTCCAGAATGAGCGACAGTCTTTTATCGATCCCCTCCATCGGTGGCTGATAGCGATGTGATCTATTTGGGTCCAACGTTGGGACGAATTAGGGGGTCGCTATGTTAAAAGATGTTTTTCCTTATGCTTAAAGTTAGTATTTGCAAGGAACAGGCGGTTATCCGAGCATAGCTGCAACAGACGGTCGCCATTATCTGTTCTTTGAGCCACGACACCATAAGATCCACCTAGGTGTCTTTCCCTATCGCTTAGTTTACCTACTTGAGCATTAAAGTCACCGGCCACTATTACTACATCCGAGCGCTTAGCTTTTCGGAGAAGGTCCGAAAGCTTTCTGTAAAACTCATCTTTTACATCATCTGAGCTGCAGTCAGTGGGAGAATAGGCAGAGACGACGAAGAGGCAACGACGAGTGTCCCTATCTTTTCGGATCCTCATTGTTCCATTCAGTCGGACAGCGCACAAACGACTGTCTACTGGGATCCACTCTAAGAGAGCTAGTTCTGCCCTAGGACTCAATGCTATACCTACGCCGGCGAGGCCACGGGAAGCACAATCAGGGCTTCCAGACACACGAAGCGTAAATCGAGTCGGTTCTTTATTTTGGCATGGTGAGGTCAAATGAATGACGCTACTTGGATCCTGTATGCGCGTTTCGGAGACGCAGCACACATCGATGGCGCGAGATTCTAAAGTCCTAGCTAAGGAAGCCTGCTGTCCTATTTGGCAAAGTGTTCGTACGTTAAAAGCTCCTACGTGTAGTTTAGAGCGTGGTTTCAGGAGACCAGGAATGGCGTTCCACGTATTCGAATCGTTTGCTCTAGCGGTGCGAGGTGATAAAGAGACGTGAGGAGGGTTAGTCATGGAGATAAGAGAGGTATTAGGAGGTGTAGGAAAGATTTGAATGTGACCAACTTGGTCTCGTGTGCTGTTACGGGTATGAGGGCTGGTGTCACTTCCCGGCTGCCCACACCGTGGAAGGGTATTTCTTGAGGAACCTGAAAAGGAAATTGGATTAGTGTTGGTCTTAACGACCTGGGAGCGTGACCGCAGAGCCCAAGGGACAACTGCTTGAGGCCGGTCGCGCACGGCCTTTTCGTGGGAGGTTTTTGACGTGTTAGCTCCGTTCTTCATAGGGCCTTACCGCCGGAGACGGAGATCCGTGAGGTAAGGTGAGGTGTGACATTTTTAGGGTCGACCTTTTCTAACCCCACCCCTCCTTGTGGGAAGGCAGCATCGCTGTCATGCTGGTTGTCCGAGGGAAACACCTTACTGCTGTCACACCTCTGTACAGTCAGCAGTACGACTTCGCCCTCAGACCTTGAGTTGCTGCTTTTAGTCTTACCGTTCACCAATCGACCTGCCTGGCATGGTAGAACCTACAGGAACATATGTTTCAGCCAATATAGCTCGGTTGGGTCATCACGATAGGCAAGCCCGACCACCGCGTCAAGGTAGCAGCTTCGGTCGGGATTCTGAGTTGTTATGTTCTTTTGTTTTTTCATTATAACCTTAATCGTCTAACCAATATTGCTTAACTAGAGATACCAGAAGTGACGTAATTTATAATGGATGATCATCAGAAGAAGAGGTTTTGTGGATATTATCGTAGTATTGTTAGTTGGGACCATGAGTCAATTGAAGCTAAACCACCATGGAAAACCTGGAAGCACTGGACTGCCGTTTCGTCCTAGTATGAGATTAGAACCCAGGACCCATCAGTTTTGCGCGCCAGCGCTTAACCATTAGACCACTGAACCGGCATCCAACAGTGTTAATGTCTAACTTCAACTAATCTACGGAATTGAGCAACATATCCATCATTGTCTTCAGTGAATCACTATCTCACAACAGACCCAGTTGAACTTCACAGGTCACTGCTTCTCACTACATGATCATCATATGAAAATTCTTCTATGTAGCAAATCATCTGAAGATCGAAATGGCAGACCTTAGAATTATTATTGATTAAATTCTATGAAATGTATTATACACATTAGATACCTGATCATTTTATCCTTAAAGTTTCCTTAGATCTCGTTTAATCAGATTATTAAAAAAGTCCCAAAACTAATCTAAAACAGTTATTCAACCATTCATGACTTTATATATATATCGTTCAACTAATGTTTATTTATTTATTTATTTGAACACATAAATATTGGTACAAGAGGGCGCCAAATGTATATGCTCCACACACAACAATGAAAATTTGAAGAGAATAAGGAAAAAAGTAAGGAGCGTAAAAAAAGAACAATAGTGAACAGATCAGTGTAAGGTAGTGTAGTAATAATAATAGTAATAATGAGGGAACGGAAAGGTACAATCAGAAGAAATCTTTCAGTTAAGGGAGACACAACCACTTTTTATGAAGAAAGTAAAAGAAGATTACAGCAGGATCGCCACTGGCTTCTATTCTGAGCCATATCTGATAACGTCTCTAGCCACTGTGTAGCACCATCTCTCGGACCCCAACCAGGGAGTCTTGAAGGACTGACAGAAGCCAGTCCTTCGCAGCTTTCTTTCATACCACAACACTATGTCTTACACTGACCACCTCTCCGCTTTTTCCAACCAGTCACAGCGTCTGCAAATAATGCACGATGTGGAATTCTCTGGGACGACATTCGTAGATCATGTCCAAGCCACCGAAGTCGGTGTTTCAAAATGGTGACACCGATTGCATTATCGTCGCTGTGCCCGAACACACGATGCCGAACCTCTGCATTACTGACATGGTGTTGCCACTGGATGTCAGCAATCCTTCGGAGACAGCGATGATCGAACACAGAGACTCGTCTAACATCCTCATGTATCAGTTACTTATGAGTAATACTATTTACTTTGATTACTTTCATTCTACTATTATGATTTCATAACAAACACATTTGGAAATGTACAAAGAGGTACTTCTTAAACGATTATCCTAAATTTTCTTTCATTTTTTTCTTGGTATCTAATTATTATTAGGTTTGTTCTGATTATCTATTAATTCGTAATTTATCTGGACGTATATTAGAACGCTTATGGTATGATCAAGTGATCAATTTAACGTATAGATCACATACACATATATTATGCATTACAAGACAAATATTAGATCATTCACAAATGGATTTATTTTATACTCGTAAAGTAAGTATCCTGATTTGGATTCGTTTTTTTATTCATTGAGTGACTTGAATAACGTAGAACCAGGTACATATATGCATCGGTCCAAGTTGCCATACTTCATTAGCACAGTAAGACGAACATCGGATTCATAGAAGCAGATAACTTATTGGTGTAATATATAAAAGATTTTATGTAAGGTTATAGTACAGGAAGAAAGAATTAATTGGTAGAAAGAAAGATATGAAGCGATTTTAATCTCATAGTTTAAGGGAAGACAAAGAGTGGGTATACGCCTACGCCATTGTGATCGATTCTGTGTCATGTCACACAGAGTCTCTAAACATTGGTGATGATGTGGTGTGGTAACTTATATCCACACATGAAGTATATAACAGTGGTTAGGCATAGAATGTATTTCAGTAGAATGTCGATGAGGAAAGAACGGAAACGGAACGCAGTTGGTATGAAAATGTATGAACAATGAAGTCTGAGACAATGGATTGATGTTTGCGATAGGAACGGTCAAGTTTAAGATGATGGATTGAAATTTTGCAAATTAACGAATTGCTGTATTGTTCGCAGATTTTATTGAGATGTTCTGTAATTTTGCGCTCAAATACATTCGATTGTCCCCACTGGTGTTCTGTTCACTACAATGATATTCACATGACCTCAACCAAGTAGTCTGCATCTACCAACATGGCTCAGTCTAAAAGTTAGTGACTTCAAGCACTGATGCCACGTTTTGGTTTGGCCGCCCCTAACTTTCTTCCAACCATCTTCAATACCGGATAGCATTGCAAGTCGTGGTAATCGGTGCTTAGGCATACGCAACACGTGGCCCAACCATCTCAGTCGATGAAGAATCACAACCTCATCAACTGATTTATCACCATTCCCTAATACTCTGTGTCTAACCTCACTATTACTTACCCGGTGATCCCAGCAGATGCGAGCAATATTTCTAGGACATATGTGGTCAAATACTAGTAGCTTACGAGTATCTTCTACTCTTAATGGCCACATTTCGCAGCCGTAAAGTTGAACAGAACGAACTGCCGCGTAGTATTCACATCCCTTAATTGGTCTTGCCTTCGCCATAGTTGACGTAAGTTGACAAAAGCCAAACGAGCTTTTCGAATCCGCGCAGAGATTTCGTCAGACACCAACCCCTTAGGGCTGATCAGACTTCCAAGGTAAGTGAATTTGTCAACGCGTTCGACTACATTACTCCCCATCCTAAGTTCTGGTGTTGAGACATGCCAGTCCTGGAGGAACATCTTGCATTTAGAGGGAGAGAAGCGCATCCCAAACATTCTGGTATTGTTGCTTAGTGCTACCAAAAGACTTTGCATTTTATCAGTGTCTTCGCCAAACAGAACTATATCATCTGTGTATTCTAAGTCGATAAGTGGACCTCCTGGAAGAAGATCAAAGCCCGAAAATTCAGTCGACCAGAATCATTATTGATTCCAGTAGTTGTTATATGACATATTGCTTAACTGTTTTAGGAATGCATAACTAATATTTTGTTAGATTTATGTACAATTTATATCTTACAAGTAAACCTCAAGGAAATATATGCAAAGTTATAGATAGATTATGAATAAATGAATTGATGAATTTACTTTTTCTAGTATCTATTCATACTACTCATTATTTTTTATTATTACTTCCATTCGAAGTAATAATGTTCATGAAAATATTGTGATTTGACAGTGTTATCTGACGTTCACACGACTGTCATCAATTTGACCTATTATTTCATGTTTCTTGATGTGTTTTGAATCAAGAATTAACATTTATTTACACACATAAACATTGCTACAAGGAGTCACCGAATAGATATGTGCCACATTAATCATTCGATTTGTGTGAAGGCTGGGATACTAGCCGCGTGCCTAAACCTAAGCAGGTGGTTTTTTTAAGGGGTCACACTCCGAGCCTTTGACCTAAAGGTCTAATCCACAAGACAGTGGAGCAACGTAAGGAGATGCTAACCCATAACAGCCAGTGACCAACAATAGGTTCATACGCCATTTATTTCCTTCAGGATCATGGAGTCCATGTGCAACACTGGTTTGGAATCAGGGTTTTCCAACTCCCCTAGGTGGTTCCTATATACCCACCAACCCCATCACAGCGTCGGACATTCGCTTTTCGTTCTCTCAATTTCGTAAACAACAGTAATGTCACGAGAATGCAGTAAATAGGAGTTCCCTGTCGGTGGTTGTATAGTCGTGGTCATGTGAGATCACTTCGAGAGGGAGTGCGGACTCTTCCCATTCTAGGCCATACCAGGGCATTCGGGGGATTCGAACCCGGGACTACTCGCACTCTTCAAGTGCAATAAACGGTTTACTTTGCCGACTTTTAGTATTTCTTAAGTACGTTTTGGTGTACGCGCTCACGGAGATACAAATAATTTTCAAGCCGTTGTTGCAACTTTACTTACATGCTCATATTTGTTACATTCTTCTTTTCTTATCAGTCTCGTTTAGTTTATCAACAGATCAAAGAATCAATGAAAAATATATCTGTAGAAGCTTCACATGGAATATTAAGTTAGTTCTATTGTCTATGTTTTGGCTAGAAGTATTATATGAGATATATATGATATAAATCAGTTAAATATAATTTATTATTATCGTTTTCACAACCTCGAACCAACCAGAAATCTAGTATGCCTTCACAGTAGAAGCGGAAGAGCTTGACACAGGATTACTTTGAATATTTTATTCCGAAAATCCTCTTCAGCACCAATCAATACCATCGTAACTACTGTCTCAGAAAAAATGGTTTGACACTTCGCAGTAACAGATTTCCAACACATGATACTGCATAGAATCCAAATTCGCCATCACCTTTTTTCTAACGTTTGAATTTTTTAATTCAACGACCATCGAATACTGGAAAACTGTCACATCATCGGCTTAACTTTGTGTGAATTTCTGGGCTGGAACTGTTGTTGACTAGCAAAGTAGATTTTCCATCGACTTCAGAGGTTTTCAATTCGACCACTGTTCGTACACTTATGAATTTTCTTTTTACCTCATATTTGTTCATTATTTCTGTGTTGCTGAAAACGGATATAAGTAGTCAAAAAAATAATTTCAAATATTTCATTCAATACCTGTTTACATCCAATTTCTTTAATTTATATAATACAGTATTACATTCTTAATGTGTTTATTTCTTCTCCTATCTCATCAACTTAGACGACTGGAACTTTTGAGGTATTACGATCAATGTCTGCGACCGATTAATTTGACCAAATGTTCTTGACTTTTTGTTTATTTTGAACGATCTTAAAGTATTAACTTTGTGATCAGTGTCAAGCCGTAGACAAGCAGTTACACTGTTTAAAACATGTTGGCCTCTTAACCTCAGTTGCTGTGAAACTTTTTCTGAGATGCAAAAAATGATTCTTCCTTACTTTGACTTCAATTTAATTTCTTTGGCATGTACATTTAAGCTAGTAATTGCAATTGTAGATGGGTGCATGGACTGAAGCAGATGGCATTCTTATCGGGTCACTCCTTGCGCCTTTGGCCGAGTAGTCTAATCCGTAAAGCAAAAGAGCCATGTTAAGAAACATGCGGTCCCATGGAAGCCGGTGGTGACCAAGAATAAGTCTATGCTCCAGCTATTCCTTCAGTATCCTGAAACCAATGTTCACCATTTGTTTTTCAAATCCCCCAGGGTGGGTCTTCCATTTAAAAAGCTGGAAATTCGCTTTTCATCCTCTTAATTTCATAAACAACACATCCAGCACATAAAGACAGTGAATTAGACTTCCTTAGCAGTAACCGTATAAGTCTATCCGTGTGAATTCACTTAGAGAAGTAGTGCGGACTCTCCTCACTCTCGGATATATCATAGTATTCAGAAGCGTTGTAATTGTTAGTAAGATTTGTGCACCGCTTTTTCACAATTTTGTAAAATTTCTTTCTAATCTCATCTAGATGGTGATTTGAACGGTGAGATTAATGCAACTAATTTGGACAACAATCAACCTGGTACTATTAGTATCTTACCAGATGGATTCGTTATCAAATTCGGTGATGAGCAGGTTAGATTTTATTATCTTAAGCATGATTAAACTAGTGTATAGTGTATATATAGTATATATATATATATATATATATATATATATATATATATATATATATATATGCATATATATATGCACAATGTGAGGGTTATTTAATGTATCTTTTTTGTGGCCTTTTGCCGGTTGTACTGTATACATTCATGTTGTTGTTTTTATTATCGTACAGTGGACAGTTGTGGAGTTGTGTCACATCTCTAAACTTCATCAATACCTGTTTAAAAAATCCAACGTCTATGGAACCGTATTAGTGTCTAAGAGTTATTCTTCGAAAAAGGCATCCTATTTATGCTGAAATTTTGTCATTTTACTTGCTTCTGTTTAAGGCCCCCAAATGCCCTGGTAAGGCAGAGAGAGGGGAGAGTTCGCTCTCCCTCTCGAAATGCTCTCACATAGCCACACATATATAGCCTCTGTCAAGGAAGTTCTACTCACTGGCTTCTCGTGCCGGGGGCTTTGTTTACGAACTTGAGAGGACGAAAAGCGGATGTACGGCGCTTTAACCGGGCTGGTGGACATAAAGTCCACCTAGGGGAGTTGGAAAACCCTGATTCCAAACCAAAGTTGCTCATGAGCCCCAGTATCCTGAAGGAACAAATGGCGTATGAACCAATCGTTGGTCACCGGCTACCATGGGAATGGATCTCCTTACGATACTCCACTGCCTTGTGGATCAGACCTTTAGGTCAAAGGCTCCAGGTGTGGTCCCCTAAGAAAACCACCTGCTTCAGTTTGGGCACCTTGGCAATATTACAGCCCTCACACATAACAAATGAGATTTGTGTGGCGCGTATGTATTTAGTGCCTCCTTGTATCAATATCTGTGTTAAAATAAATAAATCTGCTTAAATCCAATCTAAATTTTATTATTTTAATGACCCTATATATGGAAAACGTAGAACAAATTAACACTTAAGTGCAAAGCAAACAACTATGTGGGCAACAGAGACCATTGCTCGAAATATAGATTTTAGTACTCGTGGTGATTTTGTTACATTTGTGATTAACAACTAAAATTCCGAATCATGAAATCTCAATGATTTGGTATACAGTGTTCTTCATTCGTTAATGACTTCATCTTTTTGGTATTTTTAATTAGACCTCTGATATATTCTTCATCGAGTATTATTATTATTATCTTCGTCACTCTCTTTCTATTTCAGAAATTTATCAAATTGCATAATATTAAACGTTGTTGTACAATAAAATCAGAAATATTTACGATTGATGTCTACGGTAAGTGGTTCATTATATATATTTTTAGTTAATAAAATTAAACATACTTCTATTTAATAGTTGAGTTCATGAGTCAATTAAAACTACACCATTATGGAAAACCTGGAAACATTAGATGACCGTTTCATCCTAGTACCAGACTCCTCAGCAGTGCGCGTCCACGATCCCGCTCGCGTAACCGAAGATCCTGGGTCCGAATCTCGCTCGTGGATGCGCACTGCTGAGGAGTCCAGTACTAGGAAGAGACGGCCATCCAGTTCTTTCAGGTTTTCCATAGTGGTGTAGCTTTAATTGACTCTTGACCTGAACTATTAATTTACTACAATCTCCACAAAATCCGTCTTCTGATAATAATTGAATCTGTTTTAATCTGACTAAATGGCGTTTTCTGTCTTGTCATTCTACACTATTTAAACTTGTGTGAATTCGACTTGGTTATTTATCTATTTATTTTGAAGACGTGAGTTACACTGAGTCATAAAATGTCATAAACTGGAACTTCTACTCAATAATATATCATTATTTTATTACTTAGATCCTGCTCAATGTTCAGTTTTTTTTTCTTCGAAATAATGAAGTCAAAGTTTAGTATTAATACCTGAAATCAGTCTTTCTTGATAGTTCCATTGGTAGATGTTTGTTAAAATTCCCCTTAATTATTTGAAATCACTGGTTGAATTTTGTTAAGCGACTATTGTCAAAACCTACCAGCCTTAAATAATACCTCTTTGTTTCCTACAGCTAAATTAACCTTGAGAGCAAATTGTTTTTCATGATTCCACCTTCTAGTATTCGTTAATAGTTCATAGTTTCAATGTCAGTTAGGAAAACATTATCTCGAACTCTTAGATTTCCCTTGATATACCACCAGAAATTTATGTTGTTATCAAATTTAGTAATAACTATTTATTTCAGAAGGGGTTTCGTGGAGATTGTAGTAATTTCAATGGTTAAGATCATGAATCATTTGAATCAAGACCACCATGGTACTCCGGCAGCACACATCCACGACCCCACCTCGCGGGATTCGAACCTAGGACCTATCCGTCTAGTTTATTTAAAAGTCATTTCCACTTAAATGGTGATGATCCAGTAACCTGGTACATACAAAAATACCAAATTAACTAGCTGTTCACGCTTGAAATATCTTTAGTTGCTCTGATGCAACAATTTTTGCGTATATGAATTCGTTGCTGATTATTTTCAGTAACTAGAAGATACTGTCTCTTTTTCCTTCTGTCACACACACACACTACTGATCCTTAAGTCTCGGTACCCATATTGGTGTAATATGAAAAATAGTTGTATAACTCATTCCACTCTAGTCTCATCAGTGGTATGACTTGTGTCATTGATCATTTAGGTCTTTATACAAATAAATATATAATAGCTGGTTCTGTAAACGTTTCTTATTTCATTACAATTTTTGTCATTTTTATTCCCTACTTCAAATAAATATCAGATCAAGAGAAGAAAGCAATGATCACTTATCGATTTCAAACGGATATGGTATGTTTATATTTGATAGAATTAACTATTCTCACTATATCTTCCATTGTATTCACTTCATTTCTATTTTCAAATATGAATGTATGCAGTAGATTTCCTATAAGATGAATCACACACTACATTACTGTTGGGATATTCAGAAAAATATCCTGTTAAGTCTAATTCTATCCTTGGACTTGAAATGGTATCATTTTCCTATTGGTCAATACTTATTTCACATGTCATTTTCCTGTTGGCCAAATATTGTACAAATGTTATTTTCTATTTTATGGTACGTTGTGGTCTGTCTGATTGATATATAAACCCCGTACGTTTGAAATAAATGATTCGTATTTCAGAAGCTGGGATTTGTACTCTGGACATAACAGGCAGATCTAGGCGGAAAGCAGGGCCAATCAGGACTCTAGGCTGCTTGTACTTGTTTTATGTATCATTGATCCGATCGATAATCCACTGCTCTCAAATCGGCGGTCATAAGTTTGAACGATTACATCCTATGCGGACGCCCTCTTCATTTTCTCGTGCATGAACATCAATTAGCAGTGAAACGCCATGGCATGTCTTCACTTATATCAACGCACGTGGACAGCTGTGCACACACAATCGACTGGAAAAATGTGTAAATTGTAGATAGAGGCAATTCGAAAAACAGCAGAGAATTTTTAGAAGCTTGGCGCTCAGGTCAATCAACAATCGATAATCACATTGAAATCGATCCGATTTATCAACCAATTAGGAAGATTATGGATAAACATAGGAAGCGAAATCAAACTAGTGGGAGATACAACCAAAACGAAGAAGTAAACAATGACAGGTATAATGTTAACAAGAACCAATCAACATGGAGGTGTACAGGACAAGTTGTGAACCACATGTGAAGAAATTCGAACACTTCACGTTTACCTGACGTTTATGCTGATGATGTCGTTGAGAAGAAGGACGATGAAATCTCTACGACCAAACTATCCAACTTAGAGAACAAAACTCGATCAAAAAAGCAACATTATCACCGTTGTTATTGGTTAGTTGAAGTCATTGAAATGAACTGCGGATTGATGTATAATGGTTTAGAGCTTTGAAATGTTTGAAAATTCGTAATGTATAGAACTTTCTAGTGAGAATATGATTGTGTGTCAATCAGTCAGCTACAAAATAGGACCAGGCACATATATGCATCGTCTAAGTTGCTATACTTCATTATCAGTATGTCAGATAAAGGTTTTAAAATACTCTTTATTCTATAGATTTATTCTTCAAATAAGAGATACATGATCACAAAGCAACGCAATTAATAAATCCTAATAGGTACGTAATTAAGACATTTTGGAAACAAAATTAAGAGAATCTTCATCGACTGTGATGGTTGGGCCACGTATTATATATGCCTGAACACCGATTACCACAACGTGCAATGGTAACTGGTGTTCGGGATGGTTGGAAGTTAGGGGCGGCCAAACCCAAAACGTGGCATCAGTGCATCAGTCACTAACTTCTAGTCTGAGCCATGTTGGTAGATGCAGACTATTTGGTTGGGGTCCACGTGACTATCGTAACCGATGGTTGGAGACTCTTGGGGACATGGCTCATAACTGACCACAATGGCGTCCGTGTTTACGCTCTCTGTCTTTTCTTAAACTATGAGATTAAAATCGCTTCATATCTTTCTTTCTACGAACTAATTCTTTCTTCCTGTACTATATCCTTATACAAAATCTTTCTTTTATATATTACCCCCTCTGAATTAACTACTTTTATGAATCCTGTGTCCATGTTGTTGTGTTAATGAGGTATGGCAACTTGGACCGATGTATATATGTGCCTGGTCCTACATTGTATCTGACTGACTGACTAAGAGAAGGAGAAAAATCACATTTACACTTGCAGGGTTAACTTGTAAGTTATAAATGTTAAAAGATATAACACCGTAGACTTTTTGTTGTTGTTCTAATTAACGTATCTAGACAGTCTATTTGCATTATATTTAGCGAATGTTTATTCCCTAATGAAGTTCTAACCCACATTACTCATTTTGAATAATCAAGAAGGTTACTAAAATTCTTATCGAAGTTGTGTGTAGACAATTTTTTTTTCTTTTTTTCCAACATTTGAAAGATGATTATATTCCTTTTAATATTCTATTGTTATCCATTGAAATCTCTATAGGCTTTAATAATTTTAAGCTTATGGAAAAGTATCATTGAATCGGCTCTTCGACCTAAATTGAAGAATATGACAAAGTCATGATTGATGATGATGATGATCATGATGATTGGTCAGTTTATTGTTGGACCCCAATATGTTGTCTGTGAATGTGTTTGTTGTTGTTGTTGTTGTTGTTGTCGTCGTCGTCATTGTCATCGTCATTTTTACATTGAATTGCTCTATATTGTCTCCATTTTCTTTGTGTTACTTTTTAAGTCGAATTTTATTTATATATGAATGAGTTTTATGAAATAAAATTACATACATACTTACTTACTTCAATAGTTTACTCAAGTTTTAAAGCCTAATCTCTCATAGTTTATAAGGTAATTGTACTATTACATACTGTCTGTGTATATTTTTGAGTTGAATGCATCCATACCAAGCTATATTGATCTAGGTTGCTAATTAGTTTTATATATCGAAAATGGTGATTAAGAGCATATGTGACTCATGTGGTGCATATCAGCTTAGCTCAATAAGTTGTTGTTCGAACCAAATTTACAATTCTCATCAAGTACCCTTTCTTCTACCTTCATTTGATTGAAAGATATACCGGATCAAATGCTAACAACGTGATTTTAGCCTTCAATAAACAAGTTTTATAGCCATATTACATAAATGACATAAACCTTCTGGGTTACATGAATGACCCTGAACTACCTATAATTATTAAAACTTCACCCCATTGAACAATCAAATGACTATCAGGATTCAATAGCTAAATGAATAGTGTGATGACGTTTTGAAGCAAACAGAATTGAGTTCGAATCCCAAATAGGATTCCACTGCTAATCATTATCCATCTTTGTATATATAATAATACTTATGTTCACTTTTATGTTTGTTTATTCTTATTTCAGACAACTCATTTATTTCAAAATTTTGTATCACTTTTCTCAATGTCATCATCATCATCATCCTCATCATTTAAGTAATTCATTTACTCTGGGATAATTCAAAAAATAATCAAATAAATCAATGATGTCATAGCAACTAATCATAATACATTGGGATACATACAAAGGAAATAACATATATTTTGTTGTTGTTGCTGCTGCTTGTTATTGTTCCCAAATCAATTCTGTATGTACATGTGATGAATGTATTTTAAATGTTCACCTCCTGTATTTTATTCTTGTTCAACAGTGTTAATTGTCTTCCTTATAATATACACATTTCAATATTCTTTCCTTCCTTGTAGATGTTGTGATCATGAGTATGTGTGTGTGTGTGTATTCCTTCTCTACTTGATACTTACATAAGTTACTTTTGATTGATTGAAGAGAACAATGTTGTGTACATTTTGGTTTCTATTACATTTTATTCTATGTATCACAAGTGAAAGTGATCGAATTTTCTCTATTGTTTCAGTGCCTGTTGTCGTTATTCAATTGTATTGACAAATGATTATCATTACTTAATTACTTACGTATGCCTGTTACTCCTCGTTGAGGAGCATAAACCGCCCATCAGCATTCTCCATCCAACCCTGTCCTGAATAATTATTTCCAGTTCTTTCTAATTGTTATTCATCCTTTTCATATCTGCTTTGATTTCTCGACGTAATGATCATTAATACAATCATTATTATAGTTCAGGTTATTTTTATTCACAATTATCTGTATGATGTTTCAAATGTCTTTTTCCTCTTGGCTTCATTTGCTTTGTATAAGTCATTAGTTACCTATTGGATTATCAATGATCTTTTGTTACTATATTTCTAATTCATTATTACTGTGATATTTATATCCTCTATCAGTTAGTCTTTCCCTAATATCATTTTCACTATTATAACAATGATACAGATATTTTTTTTCTTATTGTTGGTGATCAATTTCCTTCGTGTTCCCTCCTCCTTCCTCCCTCCCTCCTCACGACTCATTATTATCTTTATAACTGAAGATGAATTCTTGATATAACTTTCTAGATTGTTGATTTTAAATTTCTTTGTGTTCTTGTCTGTTACTTCATTTACATTCCATGATAAAATGGGTTATGGTAAGATTTGTTTAGTTGTATTTTGCAAAATCTACACTCTATTATTATTCATATCACTTTGTATCTGTGTGGTAATGTTGGTATAGCAACTTAAACTGATGTATTTTGCGTACGTACGTACGAAATTCTACGTTGTTACTGACTGGCTGACTGACTGACTGATTAGCATCATCTTCACATACACATTCCTCGTTGTATATGTCAATTTGTTTGATAAATTACTTTTCATCGGTATTATTATTATTATTATCAGTTGTAATATTGTTTATTTGTTTCAGTTTTCTTAATGTAAAAATTTCGATCATTTGTTATAATACAATTTGATTGAACCCAGTCATGTGTCATTTGATCACCATGAAAAACCTGAAAGCACCAGACGACCATCTCGTGGGACTCCTCAACAGTGCGCATCCACGACACCGCCACGTGAGATTCCGACCCAGGACCTATCGGTCTCGCGCGCGAACGCCTAATCTCCAAATCACTGAGCGGGCATCCAATTATACTAATGTCTTACCACAACTAATCCACGAAATTGAGCGAAACATCCCTCATTGTCTTCAGTGAGTTTCTATCCCACAACAGATCCGGTTGAACTCCACTGTTTCTTATTAGAAATCCAGGAAATGCCACTTGAAGCCAGTCACTAGTGAGTATATGTTGATTCATATCAGAAAGGCTTTTGGGATATAGTTGAGATGATGAATCAAGTCGAATGGAGTTGCCATTTCCGATTTTGTTATTACATCGGGTATAACCAGAATGTGATAAATGTTTCAAGTAATTCGATCTCAGAAAATACCATTAATCCCACCATGTGTTTGCGAAGTTGTGAGTATGTGTGGTTAAATGTACCTAACCCTACTTTGCACACTGTAGTTGCCTCATACACTCATTTCATTTGAACTACATGTAATAGTGATAACCACTAGGTTTGGAACGGGCGTATGCCTTCAAATTGCAATACTTCACTGAATTACTCTTTGACCGACTGTAATCGTGTATCATCTGGTTTTTGTGAACTAACTGAAAGTGACGGATCCCTAACAGTTATTTGAATGAAAATTGACTCATTGTATAAACGACATCTGCTCTTAGTGGATGATTCAACACACGGATTTGCTTTAGATGCTTAGCAAACACTTGCTGTGACGAAATCCTGTTTTCGATTCATATGTTGATGGAAGGAAATATCGCTTGAAACCTCATTTCATCGTAGAAAATCAACTCCTATTATGGAAGAATAGTGGTGTTTGCACGAAACGATGATTGGTTGGTTTCTATACAACCGCTCACTTTATTCTAACCATTGCGTTCAGAGTATTCACCTTTCTTCGTTATCGAGTTTAGTCACAGCTAACAGTGTTCATTTTGTACAGATTGAGGGATTTTCGGTGCATACACCCGACTAAATTACATTACTTATTATCAGAATGGGTTTTGTGGAGTTTTTTAGAAATTTCACAGGTTAAGATCATGAGAAGCCGTTACCAGTGGAGTTCAACCAGGTCTGTTGTGAGATAGTAACTCGCTGAAGACAATGGTGTACGGTGGCGCAACTTCGTGGATTGGTTGAAGTTAGACATTAACACCGTTGGATGCCGGCTCAGTGGTCTAGTGGTTGGGTGCTCGCGCGCGAAGCCAGTGGGTCCTGGGTTCGAGCCCCGCGTGGTGCGGGGTCGTGGGCGTGCACTGCTGAGGAGTCCCATACTAGGACAAAACGGCCGTCCAGTGTTCCCAGATTTTACATTACTTATTGTAAGACTGTGTGCTTGCTTTGGTCCGATTTTAAGTATGCTACTTATAAGTAACTAGATTTCTAATAATAAATATATATCACACGAGAAAGTTTAATTAAATATATGGTGTGGGATGCGAAAATAACCGAAATACAAACAGTGAATAAGAAATTGCTGTTCATACGCCTACAATACAGAGGGTATACGTCTAGCGAAATATCAGCTCAGAGATTACGCAGGTCAATGCAAAAATCTTTCAACGCTGATTGATAGATATTAATGGTTTACCAAACAATGATCATACTTTATCTAAATGGTGCCCAATAAGCATCATTTCAATCATGAAATCCGTCATGGTCATATATCAAAAACCGACACATTCAAAACGGTATGTGATTTTAACTCTGCACATTCATTCAGTACAACAATGCCCGTAGCACTAAATCATTTCGGAAGAGTAATCAAGATGATTACCTCAGGAGAAAACCAGCTGAGAGGAAAAACGAATGCCATCGAAATACTATGAAGTATTAATTTTCGTGAAATTATTATTATAAAAATATTAGAACACAACTTTCCTTCTGTAAACAACAGACCTAATGAACGATGTTGGATTGGTACTGTGATTTTACTTACGTCCAAGGTTCAACAGAAGTACCACAACAGATATCAAAAGCGCACAAAATTAAAACTTTTTATAAGACAACTAACACTCTAAGAAACGCTTTAGTTAGAATTACAGATAAAACTCCATTCGTTTTCATTCAAAATTGTGTCTACAGATTGTGATGCTTTGTTCTGTATTGGAGAGTTTTCCCATGAAATCTCGACTGATGTCAAAAAAACATTTAAGTTACACAAAAAGACCTCATGAAAATCCTATAGAATTAGAAATCTTACAGGTTAAATCAGCAATAGCAGTACATGCTACTTTGAAAAATCATCAAATCAATATTAAAGAAATCAAATGAATTCGGAAAGTCTGTTTCAACTGTCAAGAGAGGCGAGTAGTCGAAACGTTTCACATAATGCTAAATCCCTCTGACCTCATTAGGAAAGAAGGTCTGAATATTCATCGAATCTGGACTGTTTCTGCAAACAACCACATTTAATCTTATTATTTTGTTACACACAGTCTGCACATACATATACACAGAGACGTCCCATTCAAACCCATTAATTCATATTACAAATGTGTACATTTTTCATACCAATAATCTGACACACAAATTGATACAGTGAAAAGCTATACAAATTCACCATTACTTAGAATTACTTGACATTGATATATTCAGATCATTTATGATATTGATTATGCTAAAAACATTCTGCTTTGTTTACTTACTTACTTACGCCTGTTACTCCTCGTGGAGGAGCATAGGCATTCTCCATTCAACCCTGTCCTGCGCAATCCTTTCTAGCTCCGTCCAGTTGTTATTCATCCTTTCCATATCTGCTTTTATTTCCCGACGTAATGTGTCCTTTGGCTTTCCACTCTAACACTTCCCTTCAGAATTGCAAGTTAGGGCTTGCCTCGTGATACAGTTTGACGATTTGCGTAATGTATGTCCTATCCATTTCCATCGTCTTTTCCTAATTTCTCCTTCAGCTGGAAGTTGGTTTGTTCTCTCCCACAGAAGGCTATTGCTGATGATATCCGGTCAATGGATGTTGAGTATCTTGCGTAGACAGATATTTATAAATACTTGTACTTTCTTGATTGTGGTTGTAGTTCTCCAAGTTCCAGCTCCATACAGTAGAACTGCCTTGACGTTCGTATTGAAGATTCTCACTTTGATATTGGTTGAAAGTTGTTTTGAGTTCCATATGTTCTTCAATTGTAAGAATGCGTCCCTTGCTTTTCCAATACTCGACTTTACGTCTGCATCTGAACCTCTTTGTTCATCAATTATGCTTCCCAGGTATGTGAAGGATTATACATCTTCCAGAGTTTCGCCATCAAGTGTGATTGGATTGGTGTTCTCCGCTTTGAATTTGAATATTTTGGTTTTCCCCTTGTGTATACTGAGGCCTGCTGATGCAGAGACTGCTGCTACATTGGCTGTCTTTATCTGAACTTGTTCATATGAATGCTTTGTTTAAACTTTTGATAATTCATTTACTCTGAAGAAGTGACTTGCAATAAGTGACGAAACTTTAGAATGCAATTTTTCTACTCATTAGGAATAAAATATATTTATTATTAACTCTCTACCGAGTGCTCAGTTTATTTGAAATTTTAATAGCTGAGATTATGAGTCAATTAAAGCTAGACCACCATGGAAAACCTGGAAGGTTCCGAGGTTCAAATCTCGCGAGACGGGATCGTGGATGCACACCTTTGAAGAGTCCCATCCTAGGACAAAACGTCTGTCCATTGCTTCCAGGTTTTCCATAGTGGTCTAACTTCAATTGACTCATGCATTCAACTATTAAAATCACTATAATATCCACAAAAGCTCCTTCTCATATTATTTGAAATTATGACGTCCAACCCTGGAACTGATATCTATAACTAGTAATTTTATTGTGAAATTCCTTTGATAATTCCGTCGTAAACTAAATAAACACTGACAAACCTTTTATCTATATGATCAGATTCAAATGATTAATTTGTCTTTGTGTGTATGGAGTTCTGGTTAGCGTCAAGACAGTTCTACTATACGAAGCTGAAACGTGGAGAACCACTTCAATCATCATCAAGAAGGCACAAGTATTTATAAATAGCTGTTCACGCAAAATAATCAACATCCATTGGCCGGATACCATCAGAAACAGCTTTCTGTGGGAAAGAACAAACCAGCTTCCAATTGAAGAGGAAATTTGGAAAATAATTTGGAAGTGGATAGGACATACATTACGGAAATCATCAACCTGCCTCACGAGACAAACCCATTCAATAATATATATATATATATATATATATATACTCAGGTGGAATCTTGCTGATGATGTCGCCCAAACGCTTATGTAAAGCAGCCATTGAAATACTAACCGTTTGACAATCGAATTCCGTATCTAATGTTTCTCAACTCATTATATTTTTTATCGGTAACCAATAAATTCCTGTTAGTGGACATCCTGTTCATATAGAGGCAGTGGATCGGATGTCATTACCAGTGCCATAACAGAATGATCACAATCATGCACAACCAGAGAAATATTGGAAGTACTAAGTGCAGAATAATAGTAATAATTACTATGATCAGTCTTTTGCTATGTATGTTTCAGGTTGTATTGTGATCTACTGTTAAGGATAAATTAGATTTAAATCAGTGAGGTTTACCAGGAACGGTATAAGTGTAAGATATTTACAGGTAGAGAGGTTTGATGAATGGTCTCGATATTAATAAAGATAAAACACTGGTTTGATTTCACGGACAGATTAAGGCAAATCACTCCAAATCCCAAAATATTTACTGATAAAAGGGTTCATATACAGAGAAGATTTAAGATGAGATCGCTTCACTAACCAGCTGAATGTTTGTGACTTAAATAAGTCTTTTGTACGTCAGTCATCTGATGTGATGCTCCCTCTATCCACGGGTTTAAAAAATAACTGTGTTCCTACTTTCACTGAAACTGATATACG